ACATAAAGGAAATAAAAATGAATCACTGAGACTAATATCGTTGCGAAATCTTTGTATTCCGGATAAATATGAAAAATTGCGTACAGGAGAAACTTTCTTACAAGTTCAAAGTTCAGGTAAGAGAAAATCTTTCGATTTTCTTATTCTTAACTGCGTTAATTTCCCGTTCAGGATATGTAGTACTCGTGCCAGAACACGGGCTTCGTTCTTGTTTAATGCTACAGAAGTCCATGTAACGGCAACTTTAAAGTTGCACCAACGTCACAGGCCGGTGGAAAACCTTTTTACAGAATTCTTCTCATTTTTCGGTCTATTCCATAATAAACTATTACCATTCGCGTTTGTCTTTTTTTAATGGAAAATCGAAAAAAAATAGGCACCCAAATAAGACGCACTAAACTATGACACACTAAAATGAGAATGCACCCAAATGAAACACGCTAAAATGGGAACGCACTCAGATGAGACGCGCTAAAAAAACACGCACTAAAATGCAACGCACTCATGTAATGCAACGCGAATGTAATGAAGGGTACAGAGGAAAAAACGTAGGGACGTCATCTACTACGGCTCATCAATTTCTCAATAATTTAACTTTCACGTTATTGAAAAAGTGACCGCTGCACCATATTATTGTTAATATAGTGTACTAATTCACAAATCGAGTTATTAAAATATTATTAAGGGATTCCTACATGTGATATTTTAGTTTGTCAAATAAAATCGAAATTGGTCAGTTACATGAAGTATGGATGGATGAAAAATAACAACTTGCTACTCTGAAAGCGACATGTCATTATAAGATGGATTTTCGATTTCTTATCTAAAATAAAGAAAAAAATATATAACTGATTCGAGTGAGATACTAAAGTGATTATCTCATGGCTTCTAAATTATCTAGCAGTTGGAAACCAAAACAACTGTGAAGCAATGGCTAGTGGAAACAGCTCTTCTATTACGCTTCCCACGCTTAGCTGCATTGGAGTTTCCAAAGGATATTTTGATGAAAGAATTAGAATAGATGGTGGTGACCAGTATTGGGTATATATATCGTTTGTTCAAATGGTCAAATTTTGTCTAAATAATAAATCCCACTAACTTATTTTAAAGAATAATATTTAGATAAGTTCACAGATAGAACTTAGTGAAAAACCCACAAAAACCGGTATGGTGCTGTATGTTATTTATAATTCTGACTATATTCAGATTGATCTCTAACGAAGACATCAAAGAAGAGGCATTAGGACTTGTTGTTTAGTCTAATTAACCTAGTTTTCTTGACAATGCCGATAAAATCAAGATGAAACGACTTTATGTAAGTTGAATACGAATACTTAGTTTTGAACTGATCTTTCAAGCTAAGTTCATATGTTCGAACCTCTATTCTTACAAAATTGATCTGGTGTTTTTCGATAGTCATACTTTAGATTACTATCCATTCTGTTTGAACTCTGACGCTTATTAGAATAATTCGATCCCTCTTGAATGAGGAGATTTCAGCAACTTAGCTTTAAACTTACCCGGATACATCATCTTTCTCCACGGTAGTTCAAGCTACTCAGTCGTACATCACAAAGCTGTTACCAGCATTGCACAGTTATTTATACTGAAATTATTGAGGAACTAGAATATTGTCGTGTTTTACACTTCGAATTGAAATCGACAAGAATACTTCTGTGAAAGCTAGCGGACATACTACCATCCAGTATGAATAGAGCACATATTATTCAATTGAATAACAGATTGAAAATAAGTACTTAATCAAACAGGGAAAATAATAACGTTTGATTCAAGACAGAACACATCATCAAATACTAATTTCCATGAAGAATAATGCTGCACGGTTAATAATTCATCAAAATAATTTGTTAGTTCATCAGATTATCGTAGAAATTTAAATTTGAATTACAAACGAATTACACTCTTTAACCTGTCTTTTACTTGCTACTGCTAAGGAATCAATACTTTCAACTGTAAATCTATCATTAAAACCTAATTTTTTCGTCAAATTTTCCTCAAATACGATACAAAATCATCTTATACTTGCCACCTCAAGGAATCAATAAGTACTAAAAAAGAGTAATTGATCTGGAGATAACAATTCATTTTATTACAGCCATCTGAGAAAAAGATGAACAAAAGATATAACAACAAATTAGAGAAAAACTATGATAGGGTTTTAATTTTTTCTACACATTCATCGAACAAATCTTTATAATCTTCATGTGTACGTATTAATAGTAAACATGCTGTTCTATTAGCACTAACAGCACTGCCCAAATCTTCTTTGGATGGTACATAAACATAGGGTATATTTGCTTCTTCACACACAACAGGCATATGAGAATAAATATCAATCGGTGTTACATTTCCAGCGAAAACAACCAAACCTTTTTCACCACGTCGAATATATTTTTGTGTCTCTCGCAACCCTAGACGTAAATAATTTTTATGTTTTGAGGCTTGCTTAATACATTTAAATAACTTCTTAGCTACTTTTTTCGAGGCCACCGGATTTGCTATGGGATTCATGAATTGGAATTTATCTTCATATGATCGACCATTCTCTTCTTTATTATCATCTTCTTTAATTGTGGTATTAGCAGGAAGTGTATCCATATCTTCGCCGTCATCTTTATTTTCACTTTTTGTGCGCTTTTTTTCCTTCATTCTTCTTCTTTCAAAACAATTAGTACAAAACAATTAGTACAAAATATCTAGAACAAAAGTCAGAGGAGATATATATGATTTGCAAGATGATTAGAATAAACTCCACGATGGAAAAGTTGCAGCTGTTGATCAGTATAGTTCAGCTCTTTCAATCTTAGAGTGAGAAAAGTTGGATATCTTCAGGGTTTCGAAGATTCAAGTTGACAGAAAAGAACGTCATCTGTTTAGCGATTATCGATCCGTAGTTATAGGTCTTTGAATGAGTGACGAGAGGATAAGTGATAGATAAAAACGTTCCATAGTCGTAAAGCAGACGTTGCATTGAGCAGTGACGGATACTTTTAACGAAGAAGATCATTCATTTGAACAAAGTACACAGACACTTTGAAAGTGAGTGTACACTGCTGTTAGCAGAAGGAAAACAAAAACGACCGAATGCAGTTTTGTTCATCTTGACTGTTATACGTTGTTGACTCGTTCATACATGTTTAGATAAAAAGTCCAGGTAAACTATAGAAGCCAATCAGCATAGAAGCCAGTATTAAAGTACTTGATCGGCAAAGCGACATAGGGAAGGTTATTTAACACTTTTTCACTGGCGATCCACATTCTCTCCATGTAAATTTTTGTTCCATGTTCATTAATTTTCATATTAGTGCACTTATTCCTTTCATTTCGCGATCGCTTTTCCCAATTTAGAGAAGCTAATACTGGTCTTGAGCTTTACATCTAACGACTAGTAGTGGATTAATAGTCCCATTGCCTTTTTGTCTTGGTTTCTAGTGCGCTTTTTCTCAGCACTTTTCCCATACAAAGCAAACTAAATATTTTCTTAGTACTCTGTCTCCCTGTAAACAAAGTTTGAGCATTATTTTATTTACTTTAGGTTAAAAATGCCTAGAAAGAAAAAGCGTCTACTGTTCGTGAAACGAAAAAATCATACTGGTGTGAATAATTCTGGTATCAGAAAAATGAATTCTAAACAACCAGTAGTGCGCGTTGTTGATTTTCTTTCCAATCCGTTCAATATTCCATTTAATATCAAAGATTATATCATTGTTGACACAACTATTGATGATGAATTGATGAACAATAACAATTCTACGATAATCAATTCTGAAAATCGTCTTGATGGTATAAACGGTTTCATGAAACGTAAACTTTAATAAAACGTCTTTTTCTTTTAGAAAAAAATACTATGACTGTCGAGGATGCATCAAAATTCAAACAAAAATCTCAACCGGATAGTGCGACATCGCTGAATGAATTATTTAGTGTCAAGAAAACGCTGAACCGTCTACCACACACTGAAAATACCCAAAGTAGGGCAGTTCTCCTCGAGGTGTTCAATTCAACTTATCAATTGATTTGATTTAGCTAACAATCATGTTGAACTGAACGGAATGGAAAAGAATATCAATGAAAAAGAAGTATGTGTAAATAAATTTTCTTTTTATGGATTCGTTGTTCTTCCAGTGAGCATCTGCGATCGTTTAAAAGAGTAAATAATGAAACACATAGCTCTTATTACTCAGAAACTGGTCATAAATTAACGTATTTGATTAAGACAGTTGTATCAACAACATGTACTCGAAATAAACCGTCTGTGATTGATCATTGAGAAAATCCAAAGTTTTCTTACATTTTCATTTGTGAAAGAATGATCAACAGAAATGTACAAACTTTCTAATTTTAGCCTGAGACTCAACCGTCATCATCAGCAACGGCATATACGCAAGGTACAAAATCGTACACATCCACTGACAATAAAAGTGCACACATAGTTGTCGACGATGACACCGCTACAGAATCAACTACCACCATACCCACCACTATATCTTCGCATGTGATTATCATTAATAATACAAATCAAATTAATAATACTTATAACAATTCAATTGTATATCTTCAACAATAATTCCAATATATATATTATTACATTTGTTAGTGTATTTTCATATACTTTTGGTGTTTTACATTTTTTCTATCAAACATCCAATTTTGTATTTGTCGCTCTTTTTGTTTTGTTTGATAGTTGCTAAAAAATGTGTTTTTCGAATGTAGAGATAATAGGGCTTTTCTCTATTAGAGCAGATAGAATCTCACCTTTTTTCTTACTTAACCGATCAAAAAACTGAATGATACAGAAATTAATGATTTTTATGTTGAGCAAATATCATTTTGCTTCGTATGTAATGCATTGAATGTACTTTTTTTCGAAAATGAAAGAATGAATACTCAGTGTATATGACAACTATTTCTTTCAAATATGCGGAGAAACAAATGATTTTATGAGTATTACAATGAGGTTTGCATCAAATTTTATTGTACAATTATTTTTCTCATTAAATGCTAATAATTCTCAGTTTATTGATTACGTTCAGTTGTGTAATTTAGAAAATGAGTTGCGGTAGTTAGACTCGATAACAACATGCAGAAGGTGGCGTTTTATTCAATTTGTGGTGTGCAAGAACATTTATGATCGTCCGAAACTAAGCTACGAAACATTATTGCTTTATACGCTTAGTTGAGTACACGCATATTGTAGTTCGTAAATATGGTAAGGTGAATTAATATTAAACTCTTTCGATGTTTGGTGACAGAAAAACGTCGAAGCACTTGGAGGGCTAACACGGATAACTGCAATTCGAAATACTATATATCGAACAGTATATTCTATTAAAAGCAATTTGGTGTACATATACGTAGTTTGGGGACGAAATATCACTAATTCCGTGTCACGATTTTCAGGTAACGACAAGAAACTTTCACGATTATTGAAAAAGTTTCAGATAAGCACTTTTCTCGATTGCCCTTTTTGTAAGACATTTCCGTGTATTTTTTCGCCTTTCTGTATATTCTGTATAGGACGGCAAATAGTATCTCCTTAAGAATTTTTCACACAGTAAGGCGTATATCAAGCCCTAATACATTGCTGTATCTATTGCGAGGTTAGGTTGAGTCTGCATGTGTATTAAATAGGGAAAACAATGTCGAATATAGGCATATTTATGCTTTAAATGAAGCTGAGCTTATGAACTATCAACAATAAGATTAAAAAAGAAACTATTTAAAGCGGCTCCTCCCACCTCTAGAAATTTAATTGATCGTCCAGAATTAGTTTCGAGATAAATGCCTACCGAGTGAAGTAGAATGAGGAGCACTGGCACAAAGTAGATATGCTGGCAGTATAAGAAGGTTGAACCACCATAAGCAATAAGTAAAGAGCTTCTAATTGTATGTGAGTTTTATCAAACTAAAACTATTTACCAGTCTGTCATATTCTGCAGATTCTGCTAATACGTCTGAATCATACGTCAAGGCATTATTCTATACTACAATCAGAACAGAAAAACGGATAGCTTTAACTATTGAGTTGTACACACCACGACTCATGCTCGTATAGTCTTTCTTCCTTTTTGTCCGAAAAAAAGTATGTGAAATACATTGAAGTTCTTTTATTCTCTTTTGATTTTTAATGAATGCGTAAAATGTTGATCTATTTAATAATCCAGAACTTCTATTTTTCCACTGATTCTTTCTTAAAATTCATGATTTTCACTCTTTTTTTGTATTAATTCCACAAATATTTCAGCGAAAAAAGCAGTTCTAATCGAAAATTTATCTTTTCCTCGTCTAAACGAACTTTATCTTCAGTAGGTTTTGAAACTGGTTCTAAATCGCATACCACCATGCTAAATAATGCCATGGGGATTGTCGAAGAGCCGACTTACCTTTCATTTGTCCATCCATCCACAATTACTGAGGAAAGGAAAAAGATTAAAAAATAATTATTTTTTTGAATAATTTTCACAATAAATGTACACCAGTGGCTACGAGCATTTATCGAGGCTCCACAAAAGCAAGTATGTCTAGAACCTTATTTCCTTCTTTACTCGATCTTAACACATTACTGATAGCAGAAGATGATTTCAGAGTCATATATTCATATTTTGACCCCATAAAAATATTTTCTAAAATATTCAAGTTGGGTATTAACAAAAGTGTTATTGTTAGACGTCTAGAATAAAGGTCTGCGGGACAGTCCCGGTCTCATCCGGGTCCCGTGGGACTTTTTACGGGCCCGAGACCTAGAGGTCTGCTGGACGGTCCCGGTCCTGCGGGATTGTTCCGGTTCCGTGGAACTTTTAATAGGACCGCGATCAGGTTTTTTTGAAAATAGTCTTGTATGCAGTTAAAAAATTTCTTTGAAAAAATATTAATGGGACCACGGGACCGGGACCAAAACTGAGTTCTTTCCACGGGACCGGGATCGGGACCAAAAACGTTTGGTCCCGCAGATCTCTAGTCTAGAATCTTCATTCCAACAACAAATCACCGAAAAGCATATTTCCATCAAGAAAACAATATTGAAAATTAATCAAGGTGATAATGGTAGAATTATTGATAATAATGAGACCGCATTTAAAAGTAATAGTTATATTTATAAAGTACGTAAGGCTAACAACTGAAAGGCTTTATATTTTATTCAATTTCGTTTTCTTCCTTATATTAAGGGATGTTTTGATGTAATAGAAAAAGTAGCATCAGAATGGTATGATAAATTCGAAAATGATATCATTAAAACATTTAATATAAAGAAAGTCGATGATGAAATATTCCGTGACAAACATTTGTTTCTTGATTGGGTAAGAAAAAAGTTAGAAAATTATGTTGTTAAAGTAGCTGATACACAATCTTTAACCAATACCAATCAGATCGAAGAATTTATATACAAAATAAAAAGTCGAATGGAACCATACATTGCTGATACAAATATTTTAGACGATATACTTAATATATTACGAGAACAACTCAATTACCTCCATTCTGAAGTTCAATGTCATTCGAAGATGTTATTAGAATTTCAAGAGAGCAATCGAATGCTTCTGAATGAAAAGTATTTGAATGCAGCAAGAAATTTATCATACGATCTAAATCTATGATGTACAGGCATTACACAATACTACCAATTATTCAGCACGTTTATCCGAGCTTAAAATATTGGAGTGATTTTACAAACAAATTAGCTGTATTAAAAGATGCTGCATTTCAGAAATTCAGTAAGTCTTCAAAGTAAAAATATATATTCTCTTTTTATAAACATAGTTTTCTAAGTTAACTCCTATTTAATATTCATTTGTGTCTATCGAAATGAGTGAAAGAACGATACAGATTGCAGAAATTTCCTAATTTTGGGTAGAATATGGATCGAGTTTTTCGACACAATTCTGTACGAGATACGGAAGTTTTAAAATTCATAATAAACTGATGGTTTTCATGTTTTGCGATGAAATAACGTAAAATGTTACCTGTAAAGTAGAGCGGGTGATTATTTAGTAGATTCTGCTGTAAAGTAAATTAAATATTTTTCTATGTATCTATCAACGATAGATCAAAATCAAATCATTTTAGAAGTTAAGTGTGGACCTTTTCTCGCAGGAATGAAAATGAGTAATAAATTCGCATGCTTCGGGAATTTGTATTATTGAAGAAAGAAACTATGAGATATCGTTTGTAAGTGGTAAAATTTAGAAGTCTATTTTACGCTGAAACTAGAAATGTGATGAATGTCCGTTACCTTGTCGTTTTCATACGTCTAAACTAGGATCAAAGAAAAGTATTATAAACGACTCATAGAGAGATCAATTATGGTTATATTATTTTTTTATAGATCAACAACAACAGAAGCAAATTACTTATGAAGATATATATGAAGATGAAGATATTCAGAAATTTGTTTCAAAAATTAATAAAGAGCTACCAAATGGCGTCCATATATTGTCATTTCAAGAAATGATTAAACAACGAAATCTTGAAATTCATGTTGGTTATACCGACATAATAGATCAGCGAAATTTATTAAACAAATGTAAACAGTTTGATTTTGATGACTATAGATATGGCACAATGATCAGAACAATATTGTCCCAACTGGAAATAAAAGAAAAAAATCATGAACTAAAATCTATTAGATGAAAACAGCTTATGTCTCTGTTAAAGTTTTGTTGTTTTTATTGTAAATAACAGTAAAGAGTGATAATGATTAAAGAAAAACTCTCACTATTTTATCAATTCTCCATCAAATATTTAACTTCATCGTGGAAGGTTTTACGGAAACGCCATTTGTTTCGTTTTTCTGACTGTTTTAAGCATAGTTCATAAGTAAACTGGCAGCTAAAGATAATTGGGTGAACCATCAGAAAGTCCATCAATAGTAGTGATTAAATTTAAATTTTCCCTTTATTTGTTATGTATCAGTGGCGGTGAAGAGGAAACTTTTTTCTTGCGTTCTATCTCCAGTATCTGCGGTAACCGGGGCTGTTTTAAATACAGTAAATAATTGAGGAATGTCAAAGCTATGTATATATTCATATCCACGTCATATATTTTACTTTTACAGGAAAAAACAGATTATTTTTACTGTTACTTGCTTCTTTTTTAGATTATCGTTACCACATAAATATTTGTGTTGAACATATTTATTGTATCAACATAATAATGACTCCGATATTGTTCATCTGATGGATAAAACAACTGGTGGTCTCAAATTATATTCAGCGTCCTATTCTTTCCACTCTCCTCCTTCTTTTCCTTCATAACTAATCGAGCCAGATTTTAATATCTTATATTTCATTTCATATCTGTATTGATTCGAATACGTTTGTGTATACTTATTCAGGAAAGCGCATTTAGTCACATGTATAATATATTTTATTAAACAAGCAAATTTAGATGACATCTTTCTTGTAGTTTTTAGATTAACAGGAAAAACGAAAGAAAGATGGTCCACAAAAAAAAAGTAGAAAAAGTAATGGTGAAACTGAAGTTACTCTTTGTTTTCTCTCGTTCATTATACCATTTTTATATCTAAGATACAACCAATAAATTTAATAAACATTTTATTTCTCTTCTGTGTTGTAATCAGATCGTTTTCTCAGTTATGTGTTTAATTTTCAAAAAAAACGAAAGACGTTAAAATAGCTCACATGTAAGGAGAATCTAGAACAACAAATAAATCTGACAAAATAAAGTATAAGTAATTTTAACAAATTCATGGAAAAGAATATTAAAAATATTCTGCTGTTTTGACTTTTTTGTCATCTACTTCAATAATTTATCTATTCGTTCTATTAAATCATCGACTGAGTCAAATAAATTTTCAATAGCAGTTCTCGCTTGACGATCCTGGCATAGTTTTGAGGTCAGTGTCGTCATTGTTCGTCTAAAAGCAAAACATTCACTAATAATACCGCGTATACGTGGTATACATCATGCCGCAGACGTTCTGCAAAACAGTAGTTAAGAAGCTCATAGAAAGTACTGAAAGCTGTTTGTATTATTACAAAAGCTTTCTTAAACATGATCATTTATTTGTAAACAACGACAAAAAAAGAGAAGCAAAGAGTCAAGACACAACAATTTGTCATGTTTTGGGGAAATTAACTAATTGAATGTGGACACAAGATTAGATAACAAATAAATAGAGAAAGATAGTTAAAACGAGTGGTGCATAAGAAATCAGTTATTGTAAAGTTTCTATCGTTGCTTTTCACACTACATTTGAAAACTAAACTTTTTCTTTCTTGAAATCTCTATGAAAGGGTGCATAACAGGTTTTATTACAAAGTGTTACTGTTCAGTAAATTCAGATTTTATTTTAAAATAGTAACTAGGACTATCACAATCTCAAAATATGATCCTTACTCAACAGTTAATGTAGTGCTGGATATATTGAAAGTTATATTATAGTAGAATATATGACACGATAATGAATCAGCTGATATAGAAATTCTTCTTCAAGTCAAATTGTTATGAGTTTGTAGATGTTCTAATTTTGTCCGTTTATCGTTTCACTCAGTCGACTTTCCAATCTATGCGCAGCATACTTGGCATCTATTTTTTCTTTCTTTCTTGTCCCGTTGCAGCGAAATGAATGGATTGCGAAATGGAGTGAACAAAAATCTGTTTCATCACTAGTTGTTCAAGTGAGTAGTATCGTTATTCATTGACATTAAATCTCTTCATGGTGAGAGATACTCAGTTTTATTATATACTCATAAACAAGAGAGATGAAACACATATTTCATAAATAAAGATACATTAAAAAAGTAATTATTTACATAGAAAGTTAAAATAAATCGATACAATAGGAGAAAACATTGCAGAAGATACATTGCATGTATGAGAATAAGAAATTAAAAGCAGACGGAGAAAATGTAGAAACATTTTAACTAAGCCTAGTCGAATTGGTTAGAATATGAATAATCAAAGTAATTAAATCAAGTGAAATTAGAAGTTGGAAAAGAGAGAAAGATGAAATAAATATAGTAAACAAACCGGAATGTAGTACCCGCTTCGTGAAGCAATGAGACAAAATTCGTTGTAATATTAAATTACAAATGGAAGATCAAAGTGGGCTAAATTGTAAAGAGAACAAATCAGATTAAGGTTGTTTGAAGGTAATAAATTAAGAAAAAGAAAACATCACTGTTTTGTTTTTGATCATGTGTAGTCAAATTAACAGAAAAAAAGAAAGGTGAGTTAAAAGTTAATATTGCACAAAAAACAAAATATCTGCACTCGTAGAAAAGACAAACATGATGTGATCTACTTTTAGTGAAACATGCATTGTAATGTGCGTATAATAAAAGAAATGTGTACAACGTTGTTTTTTAAGAAGAAAATCAAAAACTTCGACTAGATCACAAAAATATTCTCTGCAGAGGAGCGAGTAAAGGGAAATGTATAGGAAACACTTAATTATGTATTCGATAATCATCTTTTGGTTTAATGAACATATAACATTGTTTACAGACTCGAACTGGTTTATAAATTTTCATTCGTGGAATTTCGGTTTCATAACGGCTACATCTACAAGAAAAGGTAGGAAAATTATAAAAAGAATGACTGAATGACACAACAAATTACCTCGCACAAAATAATTGGCCACCTAAAGAAGAAAAACGCAGAGAAATATTTTTTGCATTATTATAAAAATTCGCAACTAACTTACAATTTCGACAATGATGTTTTCGTTGTTGAAACGAAAAACGAATTGAACAACCTTTACAACTATCAAAGGTTTCATCTTTTACCCAATGGTCAGCTTGAGTACGTCCTGGATTATCGTTCACAATCCAACTAAAGACACGACCATGAAAATCACCGATATATAATACTTTATGGTCTCTATTTAGAGAAGAAATACAGTAATAATATACAATAGGTTTTTCTAATATTTTGAAGAATATTTACTTCGAGATTCCAATAGCGGTCACCGGAGCTGGATTCATATTTTCTTTTCGTTCAAATGCTGTATGCATCGTTAATTTACTTCGAAATATTAGATGTCTTTCCCATTTGTAACCTAAACAATTGTATAATAAGTATGACAAGTTAAATAACAACATTTTCTATCTATACCTTCTTTCAAGTCTAAATCTGGTTTTGTTTTAACATTGGCGACTATTATGGGCTTTACATTATCTGCTTCATTGATTTCTTTTTCCGTTACAAGAATAAAATTATCGCTATTATCTGGATTCGAAATAGTATTTGGACTTTGAGGATGAAATGAATTTTCATCAATATTTTCTTCATCATCCGATGTTGATCTTAACGGCATTCTGGTAATATTATTGTTTGCTGTTGTAGCTGTTGAAATATCGCCATCATCCGAATCAGCGTCACTATCAATCGATTTTTGTTGTGTATTTGGAAATGAAATTGATGCTTGTCTATTTCTTGGTTCAGATACATTTATGATACTTGATTGTGAATCGTGATGATCTTCAGCTACTTGATCATATCCGATGCTCCACATCTATAATGATAATAAAAAATCTGTTTATTCTGTATGTGAAATTGATCATATTTCAACTTACACGAACAACACCATCTGAACTTCCTGTTATAATTACGTTTTCATTATCCCATTCATTCAACTAAAGTCAAACAATTTGGATTTTAATTCTGTATCCTTAACGATCATTTCATCTACTTACCTGTGACATGGCTAAACACAAAATACTCTGATTTCGGCTAAATGCCATGGTGTTAATTGATGCTAACAGATCACCATTGATTGACCAAACATATAGAAAACTACTAGCAGCACTAGCTATATCACCCTATCAAAATAATAACAAGACTATATTAAACAAAAAAAATCTCATATATATCAATACTCACTGTTAATTCATTGACACAAATACAACTGACTGGTCCTGCGTGATTGTGCAATTGTCGAACAAAATTTAAACGATTTAAATCCCTAGAAAATATCAGCATAAAAATTAATAGAATAAAACATTTTAATACTAATCCCACCATATAATACATGTTTGATCTTCAGAACCCGAAATGAGAATACGAAAGGCTTGTGATGCCGTCAAACATGTCACAGTATCAGTATGTCCATATAAACGAGTTTTCAAATGTAAACGTTTGTGTCGGCCTTTACCCATTTCCCAAATATTGAGAACCTAACAAAACAAAACAAAAAAGACATATAATTCAATCTAAATATCTATGATTTAGCTGATAGATTTCAGTTATAAAAGGTAATTTTGTACCGTATTTGTTCCAGCTGTGACAACATATTTTGATGTCGGACACAAAACATTCGTTATTCGTCCATCTTGCACCAATTCATAAATCATTAAGCTCTGAAAAGTACACAAATTTGAAATAACTAATTTGTTAATGATTGTTGTTAATTACTTTATCTGTGTCAAGTGATTGAACTCTTAAACTTTCATCGGGATAATTCCATGATATGCAGCGTGTGTAGTTTGGCGGTATCAATGCTTTAAATTGTTCAACAGCAATAACTGTTTTTTCACTAGCAATGATTGTTCCAACAGCAGAACGTAATTCTAGAACAAGGAAAAAACACCATGGTAAAACTCTTTAACTAGAAAAAAGGCATAGCATACCTTTTATAGCCACTTTAGATGGTCTTAAATTGTCCACATGATTAAAAAATAAACTACGATCAGTTCCAACTGAATCCATTAGTGCACGATTAAGTTTTTTTTGTGGATGAGGTCGTTTAAAAAGCTGAAAAATAATTTTTTACAGTAAACAAAATTTTCTATTCATATGTATAAAGTAAAGTACTTGTTTCGGTATTTGTCCAAAATTATTTATAAAACCAACGATCTGTCAATAGAAAAAAAGTTGAATTTAGATCAGACAAAGAAATAATAAGTTTCATTAACATACAGCAGAACGTTCGAGCGGATCTTCAATATTGTCGATATCAACAGCACCTTCATAAAACAAATGATGAAAGGCATTTGTTGCATCTACAGCCGCTTGTCCTTGCTGTTTATAACCAAATATTAAATCAATCCATTCGTTGATATGAGAACTAACATAATCACTTTCAAGTGCCTAAAATTAGAGAAAATTCTTATAAAAACGAAACCGTTACACTCGTCAGTCGCTCCTTACCATTCTATGAATACGAATAAATTCTCTTGCATCACCTTTAGCCCATGTGGGAAGCAATACGTCATTCAAAATGAGACCATTCTGCTTTTTTCCTAATAAATAAAGAAATAAAAATGATCATTAAAAGCACAGAAACGTATCACTTTAATATCCTTACCTAAGTCAAATTTATTTATATTCAAAAGAAAATCAGGTAAATAGAAAAATTCTGGAATTAATTCTTTAACATCGGCCATATTGTTTTTACTAGCTGATAACCACGTATCACGGATACTATGAAACATACGGTCAGCTAAATCGAAATGACCACCCTAGAAATAAATAAACAACATCAAAATTTTGCTGCAACTATATCTCACTTGATTAGCAAATAATGTACAGAAAAACTGGTGCAAAGAAAACATACTTGTAATCTCAGAAACACTTGTGTAAATGGTTCTGTACGAACGAGATAAGATGCAATAATCATTGCAGAAGAATAATGTGTCCCATAATGGTATGCTGGCGTTGTTCCTGGAAAACAAGAGATTATAAAATTTGCCTTGATAATCAATAAGGATACATCTCCCTCTTTTTTCATCTTCTTGACAAATCGAGAGCGCAAGTCAGTTTAACTTCAAATTCATATCAGAGTTAGACCATTGAAAATGAAAACCGACGTATTTTTGCTTCGGACTTTCTAACATGCTCTTCTATGAGTTTTCTACAAAACTTAGATTTTCATTGGAGTACATTATGATCTTTCGAAAACTTCATTTGATCAAGTTCAAAATTTTATCACAAACACATGGAATGGTATCTCAGAACGATAATTTTGTTTTTTCGTTTTCTGTCTCGAGATATAGAAAAAATGGTAAACTGTTTTTGGTTTTGATAACTAACTCTATAACATTTCAGGTATCAAAATTTTGTTTCTGATCGGATGAAGTTTTCAAGAGATCGTAATGTACACAGATATGAATTATGAATGCTTTGACTATTGGGGGTGACATGAGGCAGGTCATTTTTTTCAGAGCATTTGCGGCAATGCTTATATCTTTTCAAGAAACGATTGGAAAATTTTAGACAGCTCATTATGAAGAAAACATCTTATTCCATCCAACGGTGAATAAGAAATATTTTCGAAGGTACTGGAAAGGAGAAGGCAATTTCGAAAACCAAAAAAAAATAAGTTTTTTCAGCTTCTTCTTGAGCAAAATCGAAATTTTTTTTTCAAAAAGTGATACCCTTAACACAGCAAGAATAAATACCTGTCGGATCATCCCATTCTACATAACGCTTCTGAAATTGTACGAGACGATCAGTTGTCTGAGCACCCATTGGTTTCGATAGATCTCGAAATGTAGATGGATTCGATAAATTTAATTCCTTAGGATAAATAACAGATTAGCATCGTTGAAAGAATTTATAAAAAATTATTTTAGCTTACTTTTGAATCATAATCGGCCAATATCCAAGGAAATACTAAAATTAAAAGAAAATTATAGTTTACATGTAAATATAATAAAAATAACTATAATTCACCTGGATATTGCATCAGATCATTATAAGATCTACCAGCGAGTGTATTTAAATACATTAAATATTGAAAATTACTTATTTCACCACGTTCCCATCGTTGAGTCACTGAACGTTCACCCATCAATGTTCCAATGAAACTAGTACTAAAAGAAATTTAATAATAAGTCTTTTAGTAGTAAATATTGTTTAAAATAAAAGAAAGACATATTATATCTATAGTTAAATTTTACAAGTAGTAGTCTCCTGCCCAGTTCAGATTCGGATTTTGGTTTAAATTGACTAAGACAACTGTCTAGTCTCTAATAAACTACTGAAAAATAAAATAAACACCTTAAGTTATTTAAAATTTCATTCAACCATCTTTCATTCTAAAATAAGAGACGCATATTCAAGACCTACACCATATTAAATCTTTAAAAGACTATGTGACCCTATTTTGAGTGATATTATGAACATTATAGTCTTATCCATTAAAAGCTCTACTGAGTGATTATATTCTATATAGATTGTGTAGAAATTTCAAGTTCAAGTAAAAATAAATTCATGCACTGAATAATGCTTTATAGTTGGCGAATAGCTAATATTTTATTCATTTATGTGATAACTATCAATTGAGAAATACATGCAATAAAATACTTAAATGCTTACATTTGCTTTCTTTTTCGAAGACTGCTAAAAGATTTTTCTCACCCGATTTTATGTACGATTAGAAAGATAGAAAGATAGAAAAATAGATATATTTGATTTTTACATACCCTTGTTCGATATTAATACTACGCCGTTGTCCAGATACACTATGTTGAGCAGAATCAGTTAATTCAGTTGCCGAATTTAATAAACGTTGATAAACTTTATTTCTCTCTTTACGTTGAAATACCAGTAAATAATTTCGTCCATCGGCTGAGAATAATTCAAGTGCTATAGGCTATAAACAAACAAAAATAAAAAAACATATATTAAAGCTGTGATGATAATACGAACAACCACACAGTAACCTGTAGTAAATAACGTCGTTTATGAACTTCTTTGATATCTTCATACGCAAATTTACTACATCTTAACAAAACAAAAAATATCAGATAATTTAGTCTGTTGACCGTGTACTCAACAGAAAAAGAGATAAGAACAAAATTTATAGAACAGCAACATACTCTTTTTGATATATATTTTCAATAGCAGTTGACGAAGATTTTGGTATTAACGGTTCATATTCATTTTTAATCGTTTCTAAATCAGTTATTTCATTTTTATCTATGTTGTATGTAAAACCTTCCAGTATGTAAAAATATTCACGACCAAATATTAAAATTCCTATAAAGAAATTATAGAATAATAGAAAAAATATATTTTCATTTTTTTAATCTTATTTTACCTTCTGTTGAATCTAAACCTTCAATTCTTGCACACCGAAAGGTGAGTACAATCTAAATTTATGATAATATATAATATTTGAAAGAAATAATATTTAGAAAATGAGTAGATACCTTTTCATCATCTTCTAATAAACGTAAAACACTTTGATTGTTCGGTTCTATTTCAACTGTTTCTGAAGTACTTGTTGGAGTTTGTTGAACATCAGTATCTACTTCATCTTGTTCTAAATTTTCTAATAATGCATCATCTTCATCATCAGTGGATGGTACTACAGCCGTTTCTGAATTCGCTTTTCGTTTTGTTGTTGTTGCTAATAGTGATGACACAACTATATCTTGTTTATTCTTATCAACCCATAAATCAATTTCATTTGGAGAAATTTCTAATCTAGATGAATCGATTGTTGTCTCTTTTGGAGTTTGAGATGTTATTTCAAATGATTGTTGTTGTACTTGTTGTTTTTGCTGTTGTGTATTTGTTAGCAATAAATGTTGTTTAGAATTGATTTGTCGAAGATAGTATTCTTTACTATCGAATGATACGGGTGGATTAAATTTACGTCCCGGTTTTTGAGACATATTATCAATTTCAATGCGATATGGATAATGTTTATAAAATTCTTCATTTAATATCATTCGTTTTCTCATTCGACACGGTCCTTCAGTAAAATCGAGTTTCCATTTATCAAGACGATTTGGTTCATCACTGCCCCATAATCCACGTTCACGTAACAAATCCTTTTCAATTGAATCCCATTCTTCATATAAATAACTATATTTTTGTTCAATATTTTGTGCTAATCGACGATATTCAATTTCAACATTTTCTTTTACAGTTGACACATTAACAGACATTAATGCTAATATATTATGAATTGTTTGATAATCTAATTTAATTTGTTCACGTTTAACTTTTGAACCTCTTAATTGTACAACATTTGATAGACTTGAACGTAATCCACCGGTAAGTCCAACTACACGTTGTATACGTGAGCTAACATGCATAATTTGTTGTTGAATTTTATCTGATAAACGTTTTTCACCTTCGATAAAACTTGACCAAACACGTGATGATGGATCAAATAAATATTCGCTTACTTCATTTAAAGTTGTCTTATTTTGATTGACTAATTGTGAAAAACTAATTTTTAATACTTCTTCTAATGCCGGCTTCTTTTTCATATATAATTCTTGCCAAATTCGTTGTGCTGCATTCAATATTAAATCTCTACCTGGATGAGGATTTAATAATGATGATGATGAAACTCCTGTTGGACTATCTAATGGATGATACCATATTGTTCTTGAATTTAGATCACCACCATTTTGTTTTAAACCTGTTTCATCAAGTAAAACAATTAAACAATAACATAAACAACCAAAAAATTCAGAATCTTGATTTGTATCAGAAAATATTAATTGACGATAATTGGCTATACGATGTAATGCATCTAAAGCAACCATTTGATCACTAATTGAATCCATTTTTCTTGATAATTCAAATAAAATTGTTCGATTTAATGAACGAAAAATCGAATCAATATGAATATTTGAACCACGTTTTTTAGATTGATTAACAATACGAATAATAAATTCAAATATTTGTTTTGCTTCACGATAGTATGAACTTTCCCATAATTTATCAACCATTCGTTCAATAAAATGAGCAACATTTTCTACAAGAGCTTTATATGATGATGATGCTGAAGAAGTTGATGATGTAAAGGCTGATGAAAATGTTCGAGCATAAGTTGTTTTGGGTGTATGAAACGGTTGTCTATGTGTTACTGGACTTTGCGTTGTTGTTAATGTTCTCATTCCCATACTGTTTAATGAAGATGTGTCATCGCTCATTGTCAATGAACATACTTCACTTGTTTCCATACAATCCATGACTGATTTAAATACAGAATGAACAAATGTTTGGTATAATTTATCATTGATGGTATCAGGAAGAGACTAAAAAAGATGAATAATCAAAATACAATGTCATTTTATAAGAAATTATTCTTACTAAAATAAAATAGTCTATAACATTTGGTATACGCGTATTTGTTGAATATAAACTATCAATAATAATGTCACGTAAAACTTCAACAATACTTCCGCGAATTGTTGTACTCAATGAAAATGCTAAAGAAAAAGATAAAATCAAATCATAGATTTGAAATTTCTGGTAATTTCTAATATAACATACTATCATTCAGATTGTTTTTAGATTTTTGCTGTTCTATGTCATCACTGATGTTTGTTGTGACATTAAGCACTGGAAGACTCTAAATGTTCACCTATTGTTAATAAAATGTACAATACAAAGAAAATTTCTATTACTTGTCGACTGATACTAGTTGGACTTGTGGGTTCGTTCGATTGTTGTAATTGCTGAAAAATAATTTTTGTAATAGTTTTCATATTCATGAAAATTGATGAGAATGTGCACTTACGGATTGCGTAGGAAATATAATGTTGCATAATGGAGTGAGATATTCTACTGTTTGTGAATAATTGTAAAAATCAGTTTTACGTTGGTAAAGTTGATGAAGAAATTTAATTATTGCCAAACCATTCATTTCAGATTGTTCATCATTCTAAGAGAAAACATTTATTTTTAAAATTCAAATATTTAATTTGTATATTCAACTTACTTGCATTGCTAAACTTCTTGTCATTGATAGTAATACAGGACATGTATCCAGTTCAAACTGTGGTTGTTGCTGTTGTTGTTTATTCGCTGTCTGATTTGGAGCTGATGTGGATGACGTCAATGGTATATGAACCGTAACTGTTTTTAATAATTTATCAATTTTTAACTAAAATTCAGTATAATTTTTATTATAAAAAAAAGTATTCTTTATTGATTTTGTTCACTTACTTCCGAATAGTCCATTACTTCATCTTCTGGTATTTGACGAAACAACAATGATGTTAATTGATAATAAAGCGGAATGATTTCATATCGTTGTGCATATAAATATTGTAAAAATACAAAACCAGGTATGATCATTGTTGAATTTGTCAAACTTTTCATATCATTTATATCACCTATATTAAAAAACAAATATTTATGTCATATATTCCATCAATTCATTCTTTCATATTATACCTCCAACACCAAACATTGGTTTAAAATGAGATTTTTCGTTTATAGTTTGTGTCCAGTTTTCACTAATGAGAGATGGTGATGTTGTTTGTGTAGGTGTTGATAAAGATGTAGGTGGATTTGTTGTAGTCGATGAACCAGATGTTATTACCATACAGTTGTCACGAAAACGATTTAAAGCATTTGGCGATGATAGTAGAAACGCAGTAAGTAATTTTGTAGCCAATATGATTGTTTTAGAATGTAAATTTGATTGAAGAAATAATAATAACCATTCATAACCGAGACAATTTAAAAATTCATCAGTTAAACTATAAATAAAAAATACTCATAGAAAAAAATTTAAAATGATAAGAAACGAACTCACTAATATTTTTCTTCACTTATTGTTTTAGCTAACATTTCTAATAGACTATTTCTTAAATTTATATGATGTAAACTAACAGAAGAGTCATCATTTACTAAAAAAACAGATAATATTGAATGATATATAATAGAAAAAAAAACTAACAATGATCAATAATAACAGAAACATTTGTCAAAAATATAATCAATAATTTATCCACATAGCTTACTTTTACTTGACGGTTGTAAATCTGTATTTGCCAAAATAGTTTTCTCTGAAACAGAACTGGATGGTAATAAATAAACTAAAAATTGACCAAATCTAAAAACACAAAAATATTGTAATGTAGTACATAACTAATAATGACGATTAATCTACCGAATAAAGTCAGCTGTATTCTTATATGTAATTAATAACACTCGTATAAGATTAATAACAATTGCTCTCGTTGATTCATGTAATGTAGACATTCCCTCTTTCAACAAATGTAGTAATCGTGATACCAATCCTATTTTTTGTGTTAAACGTTGATTGACGACAATATTTTGTTGATCACTAAACAAACGTAATTTATTGTTCATGGTATTAAATATCTGTAAGTCAAACACATACGTTGTGGAAAATACGTCAAGTAAATGTTCGAATAAAGACTTCTGAATTTCAGATGATGCACCTTTCCACACCTATAATTAATACAAAAAAAAAGAATAATATACAGTTCCATTGTTCTTCCATTTTACTTTTACCTCAAATTCACATAGTAAACATTCAAATGCAGCTGGATTCGTCACACTTGTTGATTCTCGTGTTGTATCTATTGTGCCCGCTAAAGTGCACGTTAAATGAAGTATATGACTATTCAATAAATGACGTTTTTTCAGATACAATAAACCAAGAATCTAAAATAAAAGATGTACTTTTTTATACTAATCTATATTCCATTTTTTTTCATTAACATTACTTGATATCCTCTTGTACGTAGTAGTTCATTATGCATTTGTTTATTTGATTTTAAGACGCAAACAAACGCTTTTATTGATGCATAAAACGATTCAATATCGTGTGAAGAAGCCACAAGTCCAAGTATAACATAAGGACCGCCAATATGCTCAATTGTTTTTGAAACTGAGTTTGGAACAAATATTCTCACTCCTAAATAAAAATTATAATCTAAGATTCAAATTACAATGATGAATTGAATTGATGTGTTTGACAAATAGATGTTAACGTCAGAAGAAAAAGCAAAAAAAAGATTATTTGTTTACGTTAGACAACTGTCACCAGAAGTAGGAACTAAATAAAGCGTAGAGAGAGAGAGAGATGGACGAAAAAGAAGCGACACAGTCGAAGAACATATAGACTAAATAAAAGTGAATCTACATACATAGGAAAAAATGAACAAAAAACTAAAGAATATTATGAATAATTAATGTGACTTTTTTAGAAATAGTTTAAAAGTATTCAAAACGAATGAATCTTTATACATTTTACCTAAATAGCCAATAACAACACCTCCGATGGATCGTGCAGGACCCGGATAAAGAGCAGCAACATTGTGAAGAATACGTATAGGAACAGTATTTTCACTCGTTGGCATATTTAACTTAAAGAAAAGAAACAGGTTTGTACTGTCATACAGAATTTTTGATTCCACAATTAGAAAACGTTTAATGAACTATCCTACCTGTTTCGCAACCAATTTTGCATCATTTTTATTATAGGTCTTTTTAAATTTTGACAATGTTGTTTCAAATGAGCTTGCTGGATGTAAACTAAATATAATTTTCTCTTCGGCAAATAACGGTGCAAATACATCGTTTGATTGATCTAAAAATTTGACTTTTAGAAAAATCAATTATGTTGAACGAGATCGTACCTGTACAAACAGATTGAAAACAGCCAATATACTGTGGTCCAGCTCCACTCATCGCTGCTATTGTTTGTGGCGATAAAATTTCTTCAATCAAAAAGCATGGACCTTGTCTCCATACAACACTTGAATGTACACGTTGCACAGGAAGTGAACCGATATAGGCAAATGTTGAAATACTGTTACCAGGTGATGGTGAGATGTTGTTAATATAATGAAGCTAAAAAAAAGAGCATATTCAAATTTCCATTTTAAAGAAAAAACGATCATTTCTTACTTTTTGTGTAGCGATTTGCTTGCCATTAATGTAAAGAGTAACAGCACTATTTTTTAACATTCCTTTTGTCCACACTAGTGTCATATATGTCCATCGTTGATCAGCCATCATTTCTGAACATATAAATTTCACGAGACCATCAGATTTTATTTCGTCAGTAGAAACCGAATCATTATGACAATCTAAAGGCAAAAAACTCATATTTATCGACAATAGAGTTCTATCATAGGGTATGTCTACACTAACCTTGAAATGGATGTTCTTGTGTTGATACAGATAGTGATTTGTCTCTTGGATGTAAATATATTTGTAATATAAAGTGATAATCTTCTTTATTATACGTGTGTCTTATAATAGATAATAAACGTATCGGATGAATATTATCTTTAATCGGTCCAAATTTATCTATGTAAATCCATGTTGAATAACTCATACCATACTGTGGAGGAAATGATCTTTCTCCACCACTATTCAAAGTAATTCCACCTTGCAAAGCTGAATCGCTTGTCATTGTTACGACACCAAAATTGCTCACAACACTAGATGATGATGAAATATATTGTGGAGTTATGGTAGGCAATAATAATGCACCAAAACCTGTGAAAGAAAAAAGTTAACAGAGTTCAGCTAAATAGTGTGTATAATCTTAGATACCTTCAATCCCCATGTTGAATTCGACAAACGCTGGCATACACGTGGATAATGTCGACGATGTTGATATCTGTACTCTTGTATCGCGCAATGTTGTCATTGATACCAAACACTTTATACGATTTAAGGGTATCAATGATTTATCTTTCGATGTTGATGATGACATTTCACTATTTTCTGTATATGTATCGACACCCAAACGTAAAAATTGCCTGTAAAAAGTGTTCACTTTTATAGATAGAATTTTTATTTAGTAAATCAATATTTCTACCTTAATGTTTTCGCTGGTAGAATAAACGCTGCCAATCGTTCAAATATATATTGTACAGGTGAATGTAAATAATTTGTTTCATTTTCTAATGCTTTCTCACATATGGTTAGAAGATGTTGTGCAAAACCGTGTGTAGCCATTATTTGTAAATTTCGATCATGCTTTAATAAATTTCTAATTGTTAACATAATAAAATATTGTAAACGATTGTGTAACTAAAATAAGGACAAATTTTTTTTTAAATTTATTTCTTGTTATAATTAATATACATACTTGTTCATGACTATTTTCTTGTTTAGGTATACAAGGTAACATTTGTAATATACAAACAACTGCACCCGGATAAACAATCAATGGTTCATCCATATACAATGGAAATGTAAATGTTGGATTATTATTTGTTGCTACTATCGTACCACCACTTAGCATTATATTTGGTGATGATGATGAAGAAGAGGAGGAAGTTGTCAAAGGCGTTTGGTGGTGTGCACTAGTATATTTAAACAGTGGACTATTCGGTGGTTCATCAGTAGTCGAAGATAAACGTTTGAAGGTATCAACTTTGGATATTTGATTGTTCACTAATGATCTAAACAAAAAATTCTCTTATTTAACATAAGGGATGCTACCCAGTTTGCCTAGACTATAAAAATTAAAATCATGCAGCAATTCTTTTTTTTAGTATTACCCTTAGTCGAGAAGATTAAATAGCTACAAAATTATCATTCTTAACTGCATGCTTCTTTTTTATCTATAAATCACATAATCATCTGTCGCTATTAGCAAATACTGAAAGATTATAGAAAAAAGAAATTTTAAAATAACGTTAGTCTATTTGATTCGAATATGCCACACAATTTAACTTCATTACACCACGAACATAGCTTAAAGAAATTTTTACTCAAAGAAATAAACAAACATACACCACCAATGAAGACACATATCCTGTTGATTAACTTGAAATAGCAGTAAATTTAACGAATTACATGCGTAACCGTGTGTTTTGTTTCAAATTTAATCTATCAGTTAATTTAGAAAACGAAAGATTTTATTCACAAACACATCTTACTCATGTATACTATCGCTGGTAAAATCATCACCAAACTTAACGCAACTAGAAAAATAAATAATTTAATTCAAATCACTTACAAACATTAACTAAAAATGGAGTTTAAGAAGTTTAATGAGTTAGGTATTAATGAAATCAAATACCTGATGTAAGCAGAGTCTAAAAGTCCAGCACATTTACGGATACAAAGAATGATTTTTTACCTGTCAATACAGTCAAGCGCTATATCATGAAAATAACGGATGATTTGACACGCATTTATTAATTCAATTGGTATTATTTCGTTGTTCGTGTTATTATTAATCGATGTCAAAGATCTTTCATCTAATGAATAGAATAAATTTTCAAAAATATCATAATTATGTTTGGCTGCATAATCAATTTTTTGTGATGATGTATCATCATGATACGGGTCACTAAAACAACCAAGTAATTTAACAGCATCACATAAACTTTCCCAACGAACCTAAATAGTAAAAAAATAAGAAACATTAAATTTTTTAAGAGAAATTTGATCATTTATTCTGTAATAGTTACTTCATTTTCAAATAAACGTGCATTTCCCGGCTCAAAACGCATGGCAACTGTCAGAGTGTTCAATATTAGACGAATAATAGCTAATATTTCATGTCGTGAAACTAAAAATATTAAAAAGTATTACTACCATTTGTGTTAACTATCCATCTAATTTAGAAGTCCATTGTACACTGACTTTTTACACATAAAAAAAAACATACTATGATCAAGAATTTTTAAATAAAATAAAATTTTAGTATTTATGATTGCGAATTAGTCTATTCACTGACCTGTTGTCCATGGATATTTAGCTGGCACAGCCAAACAACCTTCCATTGATATAAGTAATGATACAATGTACACGAATCCAGCTACTTTTCGAAATACTGTTCTTGTACGATGGCTTTCTCGTAATATATATAATAAACCTCTCAAAACAACAGATTTTAATTCTAATTCTTCTAATTTTGACGTATGAATTAATCCCAATAGTGTACCCATATCGTCTTCACCACCAGTACATAACACAAGATGAAGAACAACTGTTAATGCAGCTATACGACATACACGATATGGTACTAGATTATGCGCTAATCGTGCTCCACCATGCTCTCTAAATACTTCTAAAAAACACAAAAAATAAAATAGATAAATAAAACAAAAACAACACTCATGTGCATGTACTTACTAGCATTTTTTTGATTATGGGACAATAATAATGCAAGAGCTTCCATAACCAAAAACCCCAGTTCTTTTTCTTGTTGGTCCATTTTATCACCCTTATCATTTGGATCTTCTATCAATTCTTTGAGTAATGTTGCAAAACGATGTAAACATGTTATCATTACTTCTATAAAGCCCAATTCACGCAATGCATCTTTTAATATTGAATTAAATTTTAATATATGAACCAAATATTTGACACAGTGGATATTGCTTTGCACAGAACTAGAAGAACAACATAATAGTAAGTCTATTGTATAGTCACTGCAATAAATTATACATACTGATTTGCTTTTAATAATATAGATAAATTAACTAGTTCTCTAGAAGAATATCAAAACATTATTTTTATATATAAAAAATGTTGTCTATTGTAATTACTTACTTAAATGGAATGTATTTAAGTTGAAATACAACAAATTCTAGTAAATCATACACTTTTATCTGAAAACACACAAACTTATTTGTCTAGTATTTTATGAACAAAAATTGTTAGTCCTTCTCATTACCTGAATTTCGTTTGGTTTATTGGATATAACCTCTGTTAAAGGCGATAAATTTTCACCGGTAATAAAATAATTAGCATTATCGGCCAAGAGAACGCTATTAATTGTATCGAAAACAATATGTATGAGGTAAGGATGAGTAGTCTATAAACAGAAAAAAAATAATTCAATTATATATTTCAAAATTGAAGATATTCTTACTTGTTGAAAAACGGCTTGCAATAGATTAAATGCATGCAAATTTTTTACAATAAAACCTTAATAGAATAAAAAATAGTATTACATTTTATTCATTCATTATCATCAATTTACAAACCGAATTTTTTCGGTTGTGGCATAACAAACGATGGAATGTCAATGATTGTTTCAGGTTTTTGTGGTAATTTGATATCAGTGAAACCAGCGTAACATAAGTCACCGATGAGAGTAATAAAATTTGAAAATAATTTTTCTGATTCATCATCCATCCACTCATTTTCCAATCTAATGAATATAAAAAATACTTTAGAAACATAATTTTTGATGAGCACTGTATGATATACCTCAAAATAAGATCTTTCATATGAACATAGCAGTGAGCTAAACGAAAATCATCTAATAACACAGGTGATAGACGGGCCGATTCATTCAATAATGTAATTAATGTAACGTAAACGTCGGCTATTTCAACTAAAGATAAATCTGGATTATTACGAATATTATCAACACAACGTGATATGCATGGAACGTCTAAAAAGAAAAAATACAACAAGTTGTCAGACGTAAGTAAAAAATATAACAGTTGAACTTAAATATAAATAGTCAAATAAAATTTTGTCTTCTTACTATGAATACAGTGCAATGCTGGTTTCAACGTGTTCTTGGCTATTGTGCATAAAGTTTCTGATGCTTGCTTTCTCCATGGTTTGTTTCTTTCCACACAATAACTCGAAATGGCATTAAATAATAGCGACAAATCATCTCTCCTCGTTAATTCTTCAACACAAGATGAATTGGTAGCAATACGAGATAATAACTACAATAATTAAACAACAAAATAAAAATGTGTGATTAACTAACGAAAAAAAAAATGAAATCATAATTACTTGAAAAAATACTTGTTGTAATAATATTCGTTTTTCTTTTGCTGATATGTCTGAGCGTTGATCATTTGTTGTTGATATTTCAGGTAAATCAAAGAAGAGATATAAACATTTGACAAGCGTACTACACATAAAAAAGACCGATAAAAGGTTATAACACACTCTCAAACAGTTCAAGGCATTTACCTTGGTAATGTTGCTTGGGCAAATTTTTCCAATAATACGTTTGGACCAGTTGATAGTAATTTCAACGATCGAAATAATGTCCATCCATTCATCGAATCTTCTTGTGTATCACCCATTTCCAAATACTGTACGATGGCAACACTTGCTGCTGCTACACAAAGAAATGGAGTACGGCTGTATTTGAAGTCTTTTTCTATATGAATTAAACAGTCAATACCTGTTCCCGGCTCTTTATCAGCTCGAATTCTAATTTCCGACACTATCAATTTTGCAGCAGCCAGAGTAAAATCTGAAATCTCTGGAAACTTTTCTTCCCATTCGTTGTTTCCAAGTAAACTGAGAACCTAAACGTAACAAAGAGCATTTGTCTTTTAATGAATAATTAAATTAAGATGTGAAAAAGTGCTTCAACTTAAACATCTTTTATCAACCGTTTAAATACAAAACCAATATTCTGACCTTAATAAGCATTGGCAATGTGCTGTACAGACGATCATTTTTATCTTGAACTGTCCAGTTTACTCGTGGATGACTGAATTCGTAAAAGACTTTTCTTAAATGTGTTAATGTCAAAAGAATATCTTGTGGTGTTGCTGATTGAATATTAGTATTGTTGTTTGTCGCATTATTTGCTACGTTCGTTGACGGCGAATCCCGCTTATGAAGTAAGGATTTAAAAATTTTGCTCATAAAGACATAAACATATATAAATAATAAAGTAATAAATGAATTAACAAAAATAAAAGCAACAATTACATTTACAGGAGACAGATAAATATATAATACATGAGTTAAACTGATCTGTTAAACAATTATTGAAACATTACATTATTCTACTGTTAATTACTCCGGTGATCGAGTGTAAATCATTACTAGGAAAAGGAGAATGTGTGATCCTCTTGAACCGAAAAAGCACAATCAGACAGATAAATCATCCCGAAGAAATGAAAGCTCATTGGAACACTTATCGGCAAATTAATCAGTACATATAGACGTCACTAACGGCCACTGTTTTTCTCTCCACGAGTAGGATGCAAGTTAAAAGTGGTGATCAATATGTATAACATTTGCTAAGATAACTTTTCATTGAAATGTATACTTGCGCTGCACTCTTCTCTCTTCGCGCACTTCTAGGAAAAAAACATGACTAGATCACTTTTTTTCTATAAAATTATTGAAACAGAAGGTTTTTGGAGAAAATGCTAATGCAGAAGAAAAATCCATTATATTATACACGTAGACTATATTTTTTTACTCAGTTCTAGTAACTTCGCATGAAAAATCAAACATACACTCTGCGAAAACTTATTTCTTATTTCTGATAATTTATGTACATATATTGTAAGATGATATGCACTACAAACTAACACTATTAGAAACTGTTGCTTTGAAAGTTTGTGATGGGTTTCTAGAGATCGAAATTTTACAAGATGGTGCAATAATGGTGTATGAGTCGGAATCCGTGTCAGATGCATACTTGGCGTCGAAAACTCTTTCTAAAAAGCTTTGTTTCACCAAAGAAAAACGATCGAATATTTGAAAACGTTCTCTTATATTGATTAAAATCCAACGTTTCTAGACGATCTTCCCTCCCAAATGCAGAACTCGGCCGTACGGTGCCTCTCCATTCGTTTCTAATTGGCTTTGTGCGATTAAACCGTTTCCCACAGGGGAACATTTTTTACATCCAATTTTAAGGACAATTTCAGAAATCATCTCGTGTAGCTCTTTGATTTCTTTGAAAAGTCATATACCTGATATAAAGACGATGCAGTATTGAACAATAAACGTATGCCTACCAGATTATGTCAAACACTAGCACAATTTGAAATTATTAATAGCGATCGTCGTATCAATATTCTACACTGTAAGGTTGGACATTATTTATGAAAAATGCTGGGCCAATTTCAAAGAGTACTTATAGAAATCCCTCGAGGATTTTACAGTTTATAGAAAATCGAATTTCCAACAATCTAGAATTAAATCGTCATTGAATTTCCATAAATAATTTTCAAGAAAGTAGAAATTCCTTTTTGATTTTCTATAAATTGGAAATTCCTTGGCGAGTCTGCACCAAGTGGCGGTGCGACCAGGTTGTATTAGGGTTGACCCCGCTCATGCTTTTGAGAAATTTCTGGTGAACGTCTCCGATTTTGGGACCTTCCTACCGAAACTTCGTGTCACCACTGTCTCTGCCTAAATCAAAATTCTTGCTGGCATAGGTAGAATTGTGATCTAAAGTAGAAACTGTCAAAGATGATTTAAGTGTAATATGAGTGTCTTTACGTGACGGTCTTATACCTACACTGATTGCAAAACAAAAAGATGAATAAGTTTTTGGTCTAGAAATTCCTTAGCGAATTTCCAGTTTATAGAAAATCCTCAGCGATTCTCCACTTTTATAGGAAATCGAATTTATGGAAATTCAAATCGATTTTCTATAAAATAGAAAATGAACTTTTTCTAGAAAGCTGGAAATTCGTCGAGGAATTTCTATAAACCAGAAAATCTCCGACGATTTTCTATAAACTGGAAATTAATTCAAGATTACAGTGTAATTACAGATTTAGAATTTTTGAGATACTTTTTTCTTAAAATTTTCTTTTGCGTACTTTCTACGTATCTACTACAAGTCTTCGACCTTTTTTTACTTTTTATTATAATAAACCTCACAAACCTTGAACAAAATAGATTTCTGACATATCTACGTGATGATATGAACGTCGTGTATATTCAGTTATTACAATCAGCTTGTTTGCTCATAGAGTGAAGTTTTCTTTTCTCCTAATTATGTAAATTTTATGGCAAGTCGTGAATTATCGGACGGATATTTTTTCATCTCTTTTGATTCCGAGTTATATAATTATTTGGTTATCACTACTAGCAACATTGATCTCCATTGAAAAACTTAGAAATTTTTTTTTTCGTGAACATATATATGTCATCGCAGCTTGATCGCAGAAAAGATCTCTCAGTTCTGGGCTTGAGTATAAAGCTACTGCCGCAGTCCTAAGATTGGTGTTTATCTATTCTCTGGTACTGGAATATTTTTAAAACAGTTAACTTCTGAACGGCTAATAACAGTTCGAGACATAGGGTATGAAAATGCTGATGAGCAACGTAAAAACGATACCTTTTTGATGACCTAGGAAGATTAATTTGTGTATATTTTCAGATTTAATTTAATAAGTAAATATTATTCTTTCATGTTTTTACTGATTAGAAATACATGCTTGTCAACGAGTTAGGAGAATTATTTAGATGTCGACGGATCGGGACGATACCTACCGATTCTATTACAAGAAAAAATAAAAGTAGAAATAAAGTCGTCATACTTTTCTATAAAAGATTTTCTGTTTGTTAAGTTTATTTTACACTCAAATTTCATCTATACACAAGATGTACAAATCTCATTATCACGAAATGCTTTGAGCTGTATGTTTTTGAGTGTTTTCGGAGAATTAATTTAGTTTAATTACGGAAAGAAAAGAACAACAAAATAACACAATCGATTTAATTTGAAACGCACTACGATAGTTAAAATAAGAAAGTGAATACATTAAAAACAAAGTACGATAATTGTCGTAAACGATAGAGAAAAAAGAAAGTAAGAAACAAAGACGGAAGTGAACGTGAACACGAAACCGCTGTCGGAATTGGCATTTTGTTTAACAAAATATTACAAAAAAACTATATAGTAATAAATAAACGAAATAAGAAGGAAAAATTGTTTGAAAATGAAAGACGTAGTAAATTCCAGTAATAACAGTAGAAACACAAATTAAAGCCAAGCAAAACATGTTTCGACGATGAGAACACAAATGAATTTTTAATGAAGTGCCGGTCCCCCAGCTGGTATTGTTTGATATTGGACATTTTGATATCCTTGTGTTTGTTCATACGAATTACCACCCTGTTGCTGATCACCTAAAAATAACATATGCATGTGTTTTGATCATCAACACGTTCATTAAAGAACATTATCTTCAAAACATACCACCAAATTGTTGTCCTTGTCCTTCGACTGTACTTCCTGTAGAGTAACCTGCCTGCTGATAACTATAACCTGATCCCCCAATGTTTCCAAAACCACCAATATTTTGTCCATCAGTAACGCCGCCTCGTTGATCATTGTACCCTGCATATTGCGCACCATCAACAGCATAACCACTTTGACCACCACCTGATAATGAAACACCTGATGCACTTGCTAACAGACCTTGTCCAGCAACATCATATCCATTCTGTCCACCAAAATTTGGTTGTCCACCGCCAGCGAGTAATGCGGGATTGATTAAATCGGGACCGCCTGCTCCGCCCTGTGAAGCGACGCAAAAATATAAATGGAGCGTATTATATTTTACAATATTTCAACTTACATATTCTGGTCCAAGGTTAGGTGTTGGTAATCCTTTAACAAAATCTGGTAGACCTTGTGTGGGTCTCAATTGTGCACCATATTGTTGAACATATGCCATTGGATCTGCTTTGATTATGCCGAGATTTCGAAATTCTTTTACGACACGTGCCTGTGTACCTTCCCATTGTATTATTAAATTTTTTTGTGGAGCAGGTGGAGGAACAGGTGGTGCTTTTTGATAAATAACACGTCGTTTTTGTTGTTTATATGGTAACCAACGTTCGACGATGATACTAAAAGATTCAATTAAATTTTATCTCTTTTTTTTATACAATGTAATTTTACCTTTGTGGTTTTGGAGGTAATGGTGGCATGCGCTCAACTATAAAGAACAAAGACAATTATATGCGATTACGCAATGTAACACGATTTGAAAACCTTACTGATAACTCGACGAGGTGGAGGAGGTGGTGGCGGTACCGGCTTTGTTATCAGTTTTGGTCCTAAATTTAAACAACATACTAGTTTCACTCAAAACCATAAAAAGAACATCACGCACCGAGCTGCGCTGGCGGTTGTGGTGGTCGTTCTCTAATAATCAGTGGTGGCGGTGTCTAAAAAAAAAGGCAATATTTTACTGAGTAGGAGAAAAAAAAGAGACAGTTTTAGCAAGATGATACACTTACTGCTGGTCGAGGTGGTCTTTGACGAATAACAATTGGAGGTGCTGCGGGTAAAGCAGGATTACGAACCTGAAATAGAAATTTAAATTCATGACCCTATGATATTTTTTGATAGTGCTAGTGCTTACTTCTTTGATGATCAATGGACCTGGTGGTGGTGGTGTTGGAGGACGAAGATATCGTACAGCAACTTCTTGTTTGTATGTTACAGCATCGTTTGCATGTTTACGAATAATTTGAGGATTTGGATCAAAATTAATTTTATATGAGCCATGTGGTCCCTGTACGAGTTGACCACCACCACCACCTCCGAATTGTTGTATTAGAGCACCGGGATTTTGTTCAATGTTTGGCGCTGATGAACCATCACTATAGCCTCCAAACTGTTGGCTCTCTACTCCACTTCTCGTTCCATATTGTCCATATTGACTGTAGTCTTGTGCATTACCACCATTCACAATATTTTGATTTGAATATTCAACTTCTTGTTGTTGTATATGATCTCCACCAGCACCTTGTTGATACCCTTGACTATGTCCATTTAGTTGACCATAGGATCCTCCAGCTCCTCCTGGACTATGAGTTTGTCCCTGATAAGAATATTGTTGATGAGAATAAGATTGATCTTGTGGAACACCGCCGGGTGACGTTGACGTTGGATAAGATACAGTGTCAGCCATTACTAGTTTTTTGATAGTTTAATTAAAAGTATTTAGGATATTTATTAGCGCACACGTAATCCGGTTTTTCCACTAAATGAATAGAAGTGAAACAAGAGAGTATCAAGAGAGGTCAATAGTTGTTTTTTTTTCTTTTTCGTTTTCTTCTTCTTATTACAATAAGATATATATGATTAGTGATGCGAACGATATATTTTATTATTACAAGAACAATAAAATGATATTACGGTCACGTAAAATATGTTATACACATCTATCGTTTTTTTCTCGCGTTTAGTTGACCTATCCAATGAAATGAAGCGCTAGGGATGTCAAAATAATTTTTTTCTCTTCATTTTTCTTCCCACATTTCATCATAAATCATTTTGCCGCTAATCGTAGATTTTAAAACTTTTTTTGGTATGGATGGATGAGTTGTTCATCGACTACATGACGATCATATTGAAATATATGTGTGACAATAGATTTTTCTTTCTTTTTTTTGCTCACTGTATTTTCACAAAACGATGATACATACATTCACTTCAATCATGTACAAATTCAAAATATGTGAATACATTTATTTCTCATATAAACCATTAATCAGATGAATATGTGAATAACGATGTCACTGTATCATTATCATCATCATCGACTATGCACATACGATCAGAGTTATTAAAATATGAAGTTAAACATACAACTCGTGGGAGAAGAAGAAGAGAGAGAGAGAGAGAGAGAACTTATGTCCGATCATAATTACGTAGGCCAGAAGTCTGGTTAAGCTCAGAAATGAAGAGGAAGGATTACTTTAAGCTGTGAATTAGCTATATTAAAGAAATAGTAGTGCACTATAGAAAATGAAAAATGAATCTGTGTTTGACTTCAATGTGTTTGATATTTTTTTGTTGATGATTAAGTTGATGCAAAAATGAGAAGATTTTTTTATTCTCAATATACTGGTTTAATTACTTAATATATGGTATATTTTGGTTATTCGCATATTATTTTACTAATTTGAGTTTTTCGACGGTTACGTGTTCATCAGTAATTGCTAATTCATTTGTTTCGTATTTTTTGTTGTTGTCTCGCTAATAATTGTCTGATAGAATGCGTTGACAACGCCTTTTTTCACTCAACTTATGTAGTGGTTAGCGTGACCTAAACAATAATAATAGTAAGAACGTTTGTTACTTTATTTGTAAAAAATAAATGAGTGACGATGAATCATTATTTTTCTAAATCGAATTATTCATTAAGTTTCTCTCTGTTTATAGCTCTACAGACGCTGTTGTTTTGTCTATTAAAATCAAGGTGAGCTTATATTAGGGGAATATTGAACATGTCCTCCAAGATTAACAGCTAAACACGAATCTTCTTTTTCTCTCTCTCTCACTCTCTCTCTCTGTCTCTCTGTCTCTCTTACTATCATCATACCATAGTTACTTTAGAAAAAGACATTAATTATTATTAATTACAATTTGAACAAAATTATAGATAACTAACGAAAAAGGAAAAAAAGTATAGTTTTGCTGCTGATGTTGATGTTGTTTTTCTTATCCAAATGTAGAAGATATACAAAAATATTAGATTTCATCAATAAAACTTTTAATGAACAGAACAAAAAAATTATTATCCATAATAATTTGATAATGTTTTAATCGGTGTTAACTGTTGTGGAGATGATGAACGATATTTTGATTTCGGTTCACACATTTCACTTTTATTTCCACGATTTGGTCGACAAAATGATTTTGGTAAACTTCGAAAACGAAAATGAACATAACAACAATAACCATCACCGCAATCTTCATGAAAACGACAATTATCCCATTCTAGAAAGAAAATAACAATAGAATAATAAAAGATATTCAAATTACTTTAGCATACTCTGTCAGAAATTCTAATTGATTTTAGTCAGCGTGGGACGATTTTTCTGACAGATAGGGTTTTTTAAAGAAGTAAAACATTGGTGTGCGTACGCCAGTATTTGACAGATAAATAAATTTTAAAAGACTGTCTACCGATTATTTTGACATTGAACAAAAATTTGATGGACAGTGTCAGAACCATCCTAATCGAAAATCCTGCATTTTGCATATCCCGAAGCACTCTGTATCAACTGTGCGTGTGTGTGTGTTGTTAAAACACTGTTAAACAAACATTTTATATTCTAAATTAATACCAAGTTTTTTTCTTTGATATCGTTCAGTTTCGGTTAGCATAGATTGTGGATAATATTTTCGATAATAAGATGATAAAAATTCTGAATTTCTTGCAATTCTGTTTGTCATTGCGTCTGTCCAACAAACATTTTTTTCTTTTGTATCTAAAACATAAGCCATTAGATAGACAACTATCATGTGTAACTAACTATTCAAAAGCTTCAATTTTAACTTACCATAATATCGACTAAAAGATCTAACGTATAAACAATTCAAATTAAAACAGCAATCACCATCAACATTACACTCATCTCCCATGGCTTGACACTAAAACAACAACAAAAAAAAAAACATTTTTATTTTTTTAATTGATAAAATTAATGATCAGTAGTATGTTTCTCTACTAACTTGCTGTCCGCTTTTTGATGATACACATTTGATAAGAAGAATTAGCAATAAACCAATAATCGTACGATAGAGCATAATACTTAAAATATATTGTTACTGATGTTGTTATGGTACTATAACACTAAAATAGTGAAGAATAAAAAATAGATTTCAGACCTTTTTTTTTTTGTTTTTCTATTTAAGTTTAAACAACAAATATGTTTAAGATAAATTTGAATAAGAATTCTAAACTCTCGTGCATTTTTCAAAGATTTTCAGTAGTAAAAAATTCTCTATTCTTTGTTTTTCTTTTCATAGACGATTGTGTGTTCAATTAATTATGAACATATACTAATATCGTAGAAGAAATGTAGGACGCCAACATTGAATAAATTCAGCGCAGATAATGGACTCTCTAGAGAAACAACCAATTTTGATGAAAAACTTCAAGTTTTTTCTGTAAAAATGTCAAATTATAATCGATCTTTTTATTGTGCCAGAAATCGGAACGAGCCATTACCGTTGAATCTTCCTTTCTTTCTAGAATATTTTAGTTGAAACATAAAAGGTGGATATTATTCAGAATGTTAATTGTTGTATTCGATATTGTTTTATTGTTTAAACTTTAATCTTCTAGTAATTATTTGATAGTATAAGACAAGTTATTTGCTGCAGATTCTTTTTAATCTTTGCTATTTTGTTTCGTATATCATTTATTGTAAATTTCACTTGACTTAGTTCATTATGTGATAAAGATCAATAATTGCGACAAACCCATTCATGTAAACAGTAGAAATAGTTAAAGTATGAGGATTTTGGCATAATTCGTGATGTACTTGCTTATTAAAATGCGTATAGAATTAAAGTTGATCCAATATATTCAATATATTTCAATTAGTATTTCAAAATAACAAAGTTTGTTATTTTGAAATACTAATTGTTCTATGTACATTATAATTTTTTTTGGCTGAAGGTAGGACATGCGGAACTGCTGAATACGACTTATGATTGTCTCAATATACCGATGTATTATCTAATACACGTTTAATATCATTATTTAATTTAAAATTAATTTATATTTTGTTCAACACGTATTCCCACAATGAAACTGACGCTAGATATTCACAATAGATCAGTAACTCGTTTGAGAGTCAAAACAAATTTCATTACGATTCCACTTCGGAAAATACCATTCATTACTACAACTTAAAATGAGCTTTTTTGAAGAACATAATTTCGAAATTAAGATTCTAAATCTTAGTTGACCAAGTTATATTCACTCGTTTTTGTAACTAATCATTGCACAATGTTGATGATTCTTGAACTGAATAAATAACATAGGTCAACATTTTATTTTAAAGAACTTGTAATTCAGATAGGTTAGTCGATGGTTGTAAAAATGATTCAAAATACCAGATATTTGTTGCGTCAATGATTGAGACTATTTGATGCAGCACTGATCGAACGTTTCAAGAATCATTTCTGTTAGTACATGAAATTTGTTTCGTAGTTGTCTGATTGGATATGATATGCAAAAATCCGAAAATTACCGATATCATCGTCATCTTCCTTCATACAACTATCGTTAAAAAACAAAAACTACTAAAAAATTAACACAAAACTACATACATTCCCACTAGAAGAAATGACACTCTTCTTTTTCATAAAGGACAAAATGAGAAATGATCACGGAAATAACATGCTTTTGATCCCAGTTGACAAAATTTCACAAAAAAAATATGTAGAAGACCTTGACTACGAAAACTAAATATTTTTATGCCAAAAGCATGTAAAAGACCATGGGAAAAAGCATGTAATATATCTTGATTCATCTGTATGACCAGAAAACATGGTTTAGATCTTGGAAATTGTACATACCGTACAAAGATGTAGCCATGTAGTTGGTCGAAGTGTATTTAGAGTTTGAAAAGAATATCAACATATTTACTAACTAGAAATGTACGTGTTATATAATACCGTCATCAAGGACAGATATCACATCATTTGACAATCTATATTCTTCTTTGTATTAGCATATACATTTCTCAAATTGGTACTAATGATAGTATCTCATCAGACAAGTTCGAGTATTTCTCTGTCTATTTTCATTCTTTATTCTCCATCTAATTCATACTAGCTTTCTAGTAAATATCCAGATTCATGTATTTTGTTTTGTAATACATCATGTATTTTGTTTTGTAATACATGAATCTGGACATTTACTAGAAAATTAGTATAAATTAGATGGAGAATAAAGACAGTTTATACACTCAAATATTGCGAGATCTAAAACATGTTTATCTTAGCATAAACTTAATTCGATTTTTCTCATGATCTAATCAATAATTTTGCCATAAAAAAAAACTTTGTTTTTGTAATCAAGATCTTTTACCTGATTTTTCTTAAAAATTTGTCAACCGGAATCGAAAGAATGATATTTCCGTGATCTTTTAAAATTCACGTCCTTTCATGAAAACGTAGTTTATACAAATAACTTATCAAATTAGATAAAGAGATATATTCATCAAAGAATAGTTCAAGTTAAAAAATTCCAGTCTATACTTTTATCAAACTCCTCCATTAAAAGAGTAGTGTTTTTAGGAAAAAAAAATGACTGGAGAAAGAGAAAATTTTCTACTCACCAGATGGTCACCGATAGATGAATTGAGTGAACAAATGTAAAGTTCAGGGTTAGAGAAAACTACCCACTATAGAGTGTTGCTGCTAGACTACTGACTAATACTCTTATTAAAACTTCCCATGATATGGTCCTTCAAGAATAGTCACCAAAGTTATTTAATCACGTATTTTTTCATATTGAGTGCATTAGTAATCACTATTCCACACTGAAAATAGCCAGATAATAAGGTAATTCATCTGCAGGCTATAAGAGCTTACGTTTTCAAACCTTTTTAGTTATTCAACATGACACCACAGACACCGATAGAGTCATATTTCCAAAAAAAAAAACAAATCTTACCGTTGATATATGTTTATCGAACCTATGATAATACAGTATTAAAAAACAATCGATAGCTTTCTATATCTATTTTCTTAAATAAATTAACACATGAAAAAAAAAGAAGCATTCTTATCCTTCTTCTCCGAAACATACAGATAATTGCAAATTAAAGCCAAAAAAAGAGAAGACGAGAAAATCTAAGTTTTTGTGTGAATGCATATTTTAAATTATGTTAACGGAATGGAACAAAAAAAAAAAATATGGTGGGTGTAAAAAACAATAGAGACATAAGATAATATAGTCTTAAAGAAACAAGAGAATTTTACACAAAAATAATTGATTCAAAAATTGTGCAATCAATTATTTACTATTAGTAATGATCGTTAAAAACATACCGTTAATCTATCCCAATAGTGGTATATATTGATGACGCTATCTTTTACTACATGAATACTTATTCAATTGTATATAATAGTAGAATCGTGACTGTCTCGTCTTTTTTTTTCTAGCATCTTAAATGAAGAATTTTTTAAATACTGAACAGGAAACACCAGAAATACTAACACAACAACTTATAAAGAGAATCTAGTTGCGGACGAAGAAAAAAAAAGAAGAAGAAGAAGACTTTATCAAGTAGACAATTAAAGTACAATAGATAAAATGATGATATAATTCTGCTATATATATTATTTTTTTTATTTTTTATTCTTTATAATGATGCTGTGTGATATATACGATTAAAAAAATAACAACAGTATTATTTTTTTTTTTTTTTGAACATGACTTTTTTTCCTGTTATTAGAACAACAATAAATAGATTTGATGTGATTCGATTAAAAGTCGAACGATTTATCAGTGATTTGTCAATATTTAGTTTACACAAGTATTGATATTCTGTGACTATCTGTCTAGAAACGAGTATAATTGAAAAACATAAAAAAATATTTAAAAGTTTGAGAATTAGAATTTTTCTTAAATTGTGTTTGTAGTAGATACTAGAATTGAATAGTATAAAATATTTTTAATAGCAATTGTTTCTCAATGACACTATGATATGGAGTACTTTAACCATTAGTCTTCTTTCAAATTACCAAATTATTTTTTTCTTTTTGAAGAAAAAACGTTTTCATATATTTATCCTTCATGATAAATAGACAGACAGACAGACAGCACGATAAACAATTAGCTTTGTTTAACAAATCGATACATCTCATTTTCAAACAATAATTGGATAATAAATAAATAATATATCTATGTGATTGTTGAATTTGATAAATATGAAAAAAAAAATGAGAGAGATGAAGATGTCCTTGTTTAAAGGAAACTAGCCAACCGACAATAGAACAAAATTAAGTAACGATTAGACAGAAATAGGATACTCACTCATAGAAAAAATAAAAAATCTTTTTATCCCCCTACGAAAATTTAACACCTCTTATATCATTTTTGTTGCTTAAAAACTTGTTCTAAAATAACAAAAAATATTTGTACAAGAAAATATTTTACTAACGGAAACTACTTGTGATTACTAAATTAAATTTTCTATACAATTTACTTCTGTTAATTTATTTTTAATTATCTTAATGATTTAAGGTAAAAATTAGATATTTTTCAATATACATATACTTACCCATTAGGAAATAAAATTGTACTCGTCGTCGTATTATTTTTCCTTTTTGAGATGATTGCATGTAGTAGATTTTACATTTATCAATTTAGCTGAATTCGTTTTTTTTATCTAGTGGGAGAATTTGTGTATATATTCCACTTCTATCTCACGAAAATCATATTAGTTATAGAAGAACATAATATTCGTCTTTTTTCTCGTTCCCTCCTATTATTATTATTATTATTATTTAAATATTTTTTTTTTTTTGTAATTTGAAGAAAGTAACAAATTATTATTGTTATAAGAGGGATTTTTTTTTTGTTCTTTTTTCGATCGAAGATCGAGTAGTAGCGACATTCAAAGAAAAGGAAAAAGAGATATATAATTAGACGGAAAATATCTATAAGAACATGAAAAATCGAGATTAACAAATAAAGAGAAACAAAAAAATGTATACACCCACCACAGTATTATTGAATATTCATTTTTTCTAATTTCCGGTCTCACTAATGAGATCATGATACTAAAGAAGGCAAGATTTTTGACTTCTCTATATCCATCTCGACCAATAATCTAATATAATGACAACGTTAATTATAAACACAATCGAAAAAACATCAAAATTGGATGTTGTTTGTTTTTAATATGATAAATAAAAGAAATAACAATAGTACCGAGATTTAACCATCACATAATCACATCTTTATTTTTCGTAAAATATTAGTTAGCCTACGGGCAAAACTCATTTGATTTAAGTTTGTTTTTGATTAAAATAAATATTATAAACTCCGAGTATAGTAGAAAAATGTCTGTAGGATAAATATCGACATTTATTAAGTAAGCAACTAGATTTTTCTAATTCAAATAATATGAGATTGATACGTTGGCACTTAAAGTAACGAACAGCAGGAAACTATTTTTATCTTACTTCATCAACATTGTACTCATGTTTAATCTGTCTATCATTTTACAGCTGTAGTCGAATTGCACAGGTGATATCGTCTTTCAGTAATAGATCCAAGCTAAACTATACTATATTATCGATTAACTCATAGAGCCATTCGAATAAAAATTGAGCAAAAATGATGTACAAAAAAGAAACAAAAACAAAAAAACAACAACAATAATATCTGACATTATTTATTTTCTGTACTATCTTCACTATTTCCAACTTTCATTGTTTCTTCTGCTTTTAGTCTATCTTGTTTTATAAATAATGAACTTATTAGAAAACAAATAGCACTTAGAGCTGCTATTGGCACAGTAATCATTAATCCATTGCGTAATGATGCCCATTGAATAGCACTTTCTGTTATATTTCGTTTCATTAATAATGATGAATTCATCACTGAATTTTCTTGATATTTATGAGAATAATCACTAAGTATACCAACAATATATGGACTGGCTGCATCACCAAGAAAATGAAATATAAATAGTTGTAGGGCACTTGCTGTTGATCGACGAGTAGGAATTACAACATATAACATAATATCGTTAATAAGTGCCCAATTTGTACACATAAGTGCTTCGCTGAAAAAAATAGATATCCATGTTGATATCATATAACGATTGGAATATAATAAAGCCACAACTAAAAATGGGAGAGAGAGTAATATGGCAACACCACAAACAATTGGATCAGCACGCGATGTTATTTTACGACAGTGTCGAGCGATTTCTGTACCACTAATTACGCCAAGAAGTCCAGCTGTACACGTAATTATACCTAAATAAACATATTAATGAGTCTTTCAATTTCATAACTTGCCATTCCGATTATGATCTTACCAAAATATAATGTAATATTTTTATCTTCTTTCTCAGTGGATACTTGACTTCCATACTGTATGAATAATGGTCCCCACCATGCCAAAGCTCCCAATGTAAATGATACCCAAGTAAATGCTAATGTTGATAGTACATAACTTCTAATTTTTATCAATTTTTGAATATCTGTTTTCCAGTCTGTTGCCTTTTGAACTTGTGCACCTTCTGTAATACCACGTACTGGTTCATCAACAAACAGAATCAATAGAACAATGCAAATTACACCCAATACCGGTGTTACTCTCAGCGACCATTGCCAATTATTAAATGTACGAGCCACATTTGTTCCAACAATATAGCCGAGTCCAGATCCCACGGGCACAGCAACATTAAAAAATGCTAACATTTTTGTTCTTGAATCCTTTTTATACATATCGGCAATAATTGTGGGTGCTACACAAGCATAGGATGCTTCACCAACGCCCACTAAACCTCGTAGAATTAAAAACAAAATAAAAAAATTTGACGGAATAAATGATCCAGCAAGTGTTGTTGCTGACCATAACGTTATACCGATAATCATTATGACTTTTCTTTCATATCGATCACCCAAATAACCGAAAAGTGGTGCGAATATCATATAACTACAGGTGAACGCAGTTGATAAGAGACCAGCTTTTCTATTATTGATATTGAAATAATTTTGGATTTTATCCAGGACGCCACTAATCGTATATCGATCCATATAGTTCAAAACATTTATTACGAATAAAATAATCATTATGAACAAATTTTTATAACGACTGGCAGATTTTGCAATCTGAATGTCGGTGTCAAGAGATAACATTTTTTTTTTTTATATAAATTATTGCAGCTATACAAAATAAGTCAACTCATAGCCAAAAACTATGTTCGAAATGTTCTTGATCAATAAGCTAAAAAAAATTTAAAATAGCCAATTAACTAATGAAAATTATCTTGTTGTGAAAAAAGTGAAATTTTTTCAGATAGCAGGATATCATCGGTCTACTACAGCAAGAAAAAGTTAGTTAAAATTCATCTCTGTAACTTAATTTTGATACATTTTAAAAACAGAACAAATTTTAATATATCTATTTTGTATACATATCGATAACATTTTGAAACATAAGCCTTTATCGAACTTACTCACTCATCTTTACAAAGTTGAAAAAAGGTTGTTCTGAAATGGCCTACATTATATATGACTGAATTTTACGTTCGTTTTTCAAATAGTTATTAACGGCGGCCTCGTTTTCGTTCTTTTCCATTTTTTCTTTTCCATACGTCTGAACGTGAGAGATAAATATATATGTGTACAGTTTGATACTCAAATGGAAATTAAATCGAAAACACTCACTGGTCAGAAATATCATACAAAAGAAATAAGGCTAATCAGTGAAAGTCCGTTGAATTCAATACGAGTGTAAATGTAGGCAAGAAAGACACCGTCAAAACAGGAAAGAATGTAATACATTTGACAGAATGTTCCTCTATTTTTGGCACAAAATACAGGATCCTGATCAAGTTTTCATATAACGTTAGTCTTGCCAAGATTAGATAAGCGTAAACAATTAAGCTTGAAAACTTGAGTTTTCTCAAAAATAGTGGTCAAAAACTAGGTGTTGCCATTTCCCTAATTTCTCGTCTATTGTGGGTACTAAAAAGCTTAGGTTGGTCTTAAAATGACGAGAATACTCGTGGCTATGATTTAATAGAGTCGGATTTTCGAAGTATTTTTATTTATTTTTCCCAGTAGTTTTATCTCTAAAGTTCGAAGAAAACTTCGTTAATTTTTCGGAAATCTTCATTTTTCTCGAAAACTAAGATAAAAATTCGACTCCGTGAGTCACTCTCGTCATTTTAAGACCAATCCGAACTTTTTAGCACTCAAAATTGACGAGAAATTGGGAAAATGGCAACACCTATTTTTCAAAAAAAATGATGTCAAGAAAACCGCCGTGTATTTGTTTATGTACTTAGTGAGTCAGAAAGCGATATAAAGTATATACTTTGGGCTGTCTAACCATGCATAAAAATCGACTTTATGAATAGAGAATTCTTAACTGGAAATGTAACTGGTTCATGTGATCGAAACTAAAAGCTTTCATAACAATTCAATGGCAAAAATGAAAATATTTTTAGTTTTCTGACTTTTTTCTCGTCCATTTTTAATGTTCTTACATAAATGCTTGACAACTGAGCAAGAAGATCTGGGTTTCTTCAAAAATTTCTCGTTCTTTTGTTTTGAAGAACAAACTAACTTATGCACTTTTCATTTAAACTGTCGTCTATCTTATCTTCATTATCCTTCTGCATTAGCAAAATCGTTATAATTATCATCTTCAACTTCAATTTCCTTTACTGTCATTCATCTGCTTGTTATCATTTTCAAATGGTAGTTGAGGATGGTTTCTTCAAATGATAATCAACTGTTCGGCTTGTCCAACTAACGGTCCTCTGTTTTCGCTCTTTTTCAAAAACTTATTGCAGTAAAGCTACAAACTAAAATTGCAACTAGATAATTAAGTAGATTGAATATTTCTCTATAAAATGAAAAGCAGCTGGACTCTGAATGTTGATTCGTTATGAAAATACAGCTGTTGTACAGACAGCTCAAAAGATCGATTTGGGAGAAAACATGTCTAAAAAAAGTGCAGACGAGTTGGCGAAAATTAAACAGGTATATCAACTTGTAGAAAATTGTTCGCTCTAGTTCGAAACTATTCTAATTAATCTGTATTAATCATAGAAAAACGGTCAAAAGCGTCGCAGCTTTACCGTTTTTCTGGTTTCATCACATTTTGTAGAGCAAACAATTTTCTACAAGTTGATATATCTGTTCAATTTTCGCCAACTCGTCTGCACTTTTTTAGACACGTTTTCTCCCAAATCGATCTTTTGGGCTGTTTGTACAACAGCTGTATTTTCATAACGAATCAACATTCAGAGTCCAGCTGCTTTTCATTTTATAGAGAAATATTCAATCTACTTAATTATCTAGTTGCAATTTTAGATTAGTTTGTAGCTTTACTGCAATAAGTTTTTGAAAAAGAGCGAAAACAGAGGACCGTTTTAGCTGGACAAGCCGTGTTGAACATTCAATTCTTTAATGAGAACAAATTTTTTAAGATTTTTTAAGATCCAAAATCTCGAGGGTGCTAGTCGTATTCTCTTGTAAGTGTGAGAGATACCTGTTGTTTGCATCCTCTCCTTTGACTCTCAAAATCAATCATTTCTTCACTCTTATTGCGCTTACATCATTACAAAGAAAAATTTAATGATAGATGTACTCTACGATGTAAAAAGAATTTTAGATGCTAATTATAATGTGATTTATTTGTATAGAAAATCGAGTATTATTTTAGTGCAATACTATATTCTTACTAGGATTGTGAAAAAGGACTAATATTTTTCTTTTTGACGAGACAGAGCGTCCCGAATGCTGAATAGGAAGTAATCTGATGCAATAATTACGTAACAATATTCAAAACAGTATAATAATGCGGAGTTGATCGTTGTATAGCATATAAACTAGGAACAGTGAATTGACTGTAAAAGTTATATTCTTTTCGTACAAAACTCATTTTATGTTTAAGTTTTAGAATATCATAAATGAATTCATCTGATTTGTATTCTAAAAGAATAAAGCTTAGAGCAAGCAATTCAATCTGATTTGATGTGAATGCTGAAACCATATGTGAAGCGGAATTTATTCGTATTTTCTCAGAATTTTTTCTATCTTTCGTATCTATCACACTAGATAATCACATGACTAGTGATGTTCGGTTCTCGGTTCTCTTATTTTCGATTCTTCATCTGGAATCGCGCTGTCGGTTTTGACAATGTAACCAGAATCAACGTTTCTAAGACGGTTCCGTTTTTTCGAAACCGAGACTTTTTAACTTGCCTTTCTTTTAACAAAATGAAAACACACTATTCACAAAGCTACAAAAAGATATATTTGCCTGTCATCATTTAAAAGAATCCTTTCATTTACTATAAAGTGAATTCTATTTCGTTGAATTATTACTGCTTAAAAAATTATTTTCCAGTTCTCAGCTGAGAACCGCGAAACGCGGTTCTGTTGATTTCGGTTCTAATTCAAAAAGCGGAACTGTTGTTTCGATTCCAGAACGGCGATTCTCGGTCTAATGATTTTCTGATTTTCTACTTCTTTTTCTCCTTCTGATTTTGGACTTTTATTTTCTGATTTTCGTGTTTTGGATCTGGGATCCCTGGTCGCGTACTTTTTTGATGACTCTTTGAGGTTGCAAAAAAAGAATTATTTAGAAAAGTATAGTGGGGACTTGCACTCAAAAGATAAATCATCCAAAGCTGATTCATATCATATCTCATTTTGACGAGTAGAGTCATTTGTGCTGTCCTATACAATATATTAATAAACCTTCGTATATTCTATTTGAAAAGTCTTGTTTTCGGAACTTTTGGAAATCTTTTAAAAGAACGGGATGGATTAATTGTACTAAACTTGATACAGATTCTGGAAGCAGATACACTCTAGACTAGCTGAATATGTGTACATCTCAATACTAAAGTAATTCTAATCTATTCGCGTAGAACTGTATGAAAGTATTTTTTCAACTTGACTTAACTTCTCTTAAAATTTAGTTTAGTTCTCAACAAAATTCAACCTGTTCGATGACTTTGTACAAATCTACCAAAAAAAGTAAAAAGAGAAATATATTTTGAACAAAGTTCTAAATACATATGTCAAACAGATCTACACAAAAAAATATTGCATTTTTATTACACATTATGATGAGAATAGATCTTAAGAACAGGCGTCAAAAATGGTTTTTAATAACGAAATATTATCATTTAATAAAGAAGAAAAAGAATCCTAATGTACGCAAGAAGAAAAATGAGATTCCAATATAGAAAAAGTGAATGAGAGAAATACGTACGAAGGTCGGCAGTAATTAAAGAGTAACAACAATCTGAACATTCACCGGGATATACAAAAAACAACAAAGCAAAAACAAAAAAAACAACAACAAAAATCAGACTCGTTTATATTTTTGGTTTAAGCCCATTATCATTATTATTAAAACAAATTCCATATACAATTAAAGTAAGAGTGTAAATATTGTAGATACAATGTCCACGTATAATGGAATATTAATGATGATTCAGCTCGTCGTATTTGATTTAAACATGTATGGACTAATTCAGCATTTTGTTCAAATTCATTTGCTAACTGTTGTTGAATTTTCATTCGAATTACTTCATTATTCATTACATCATTCGTCCATATTAGACCATTTTCATTTGTTAATTTTTCACACAATTTTTCATGTAATTCAATGAGTACCAATTCATTAAATCTCATATCTTTTCGTTTTATATGAAATTCATCGTACAATTGATCAATATAGTAAAACATATATTCAATAATTAACGGTTTATAGACTGATGTTAATGAATTTGAAGATTGTAATTTCAATGTAAACCATTTTTGACGATCTAATACACAATATTGAATATGATTAAACCATTTTAGAAATAGATTAGAATTATTATTATCAGAAAATATATTTAAAATATTGTATTCATGATTAAAATAATGAGGTAGAAAATTTTGTTTCAAATTCGAATGTAATTCTTTCAAAAAATGATGCGTCAAATCTAATATCGAATCATTAGTACGTTGATGACTAAAAACATAATTAAAAATGACATTGACATTTAGACTAAACAATAAGCTAAGGCAATACACTCATCAACAGCACTTGATTAGAGTGTCAAAAAAACAAAATTATATTTTTTGTAAATATATTTTTATTTTTGAGTATTTGGATAAACCTATTTTTCTCACCTTGATGTTGATGTCGAAAATGGAAGACCATATTTTTCACAATAATTTAGAAAACAATGTTTTATACATAAACGTATTGCATATTCATCATTTTGTTCATCATATTCGTTCTCATTTTTAAAATTATGACATTCATCACTATAATTAATTCCATTTAATTTTTTTGTTAATGAAAATAGTTGTAAACTAAATGTATATAGAAATAATGTTGATTCATTCATATATTCATAGAGTAAATTTTCAACTAAATCAAAATTTAATTGCCATCTATCATCAAGTTGATGATTATTATTTGATTGTGATAAATTTATTTTACAATTTGATTTTGGTATTAATAATAATTGTTTTTTAACTATTATATTCATATGATATGTTGATGGCCATTTTCGTTTTGAACTACGTTTATGATAATAATTATCGAGAACATATTTTGGCCATTTTAATAATGGAATAGCTAAAACATATTGTTCATAGTCAACATTAATAAATGTTTCAGAATTTTTATTATTTGATAAAAATACATCGGAGAATGCATGAATATAAGATAATTTTGTATTTAATTCATTTGTTTCATTATGATTATTAACATTATTTTCTTGATCATTAGATGAATCAAGTAAAAATAATGTTGGTGGTAAACGTAAACAAACTAATTGAATATGATATTGATCTTCAATAGCTGATATATTTTGTTTAGTATTGCATTCTTTTTTCATTATATGATTTTGAAGACTAAAATAAAATAAAAAAGATAAAAAAATTCTTACATATATTTATGGGATCTTTTATTTTTTACCTAGGATTACTGTTCTCAATATTTTCATTCGATTCAGGCAATTCAATTTTTGTCATTGATGTTTTTGGTTTTAATAAACAAGTTAAATAACTACCGTCACCTGTTAAAAATCGATTTGCTATTGAACATGTTTGATTTATTATAATTAATGATTGAAACCACTGTTGAAATGCATATGATGATAAATAATAATTATTTTCTTCATCATTCAATGCACGATAGCTGAAATGTGCGTACTGTTTCCAATACGATTTATGTAGACGAATATGTCCAGTATAAAATGATGAATGATCATTTTCATCACAAATAAATAAACATGATGGATCATCAATTTGTTGTGATTTTGTTGTTTTACTTGACGTATTTCCACTACCCGTCTCTAATTCAATAACAACGTGAATTGAAGATGTTTGTTCTATTTCTTGTTTATGTCTATAATCATCATCTTCTGGCAATGTATTAAAGCAAGCTTTTGGAATGAAATAACATCGTGAGCGTATTTGTTCTTGAATATTATAGGTACTATATGAACTGGTTGATAATATAGGCAAAATAAATTCTAATGGATAAACAAATTCAACATACAAATCATCCGCTAAAATTGTTGATATTTGAGTAGTGTTATTATCAATGGATGGATAAATCATAACTGGTTGAGAAAAATGATTTCTAACACTTTTTTTATTATTGCACGATGACGATGGTAATGATTTTAAACGTTGTTTATACAATATTTGTTGATAATACAATAGACGAAATAAAAAATCTTTTAAATAATTATTTAATGTTAATAAGTTTAAACCAATACATTTGGCTAAATGTAAAACTTCTAAGTTGCTCTTTGTACTAGAAACTAACAATGATGGTAACTCCTCAACGAAATCATTTATCACCGAACTTTTAGGCTAAAATTTACAAAAGTATTAGTAATCGATTAAAAAAGCTCTAAAGCGTATGTCAGTCATTCTTACTTGTTCATTACACAATATCTGATTTTGAGCATTTTTCTGATGAATAATAAATAATTCATCATTCACTGTTGTAGACGTTCGTTTCTTTTGTCTTTGTTGACTAAGAGGTGTTGTTATTGTTCGTTGTTTATTAACACGATTTAGTGATGGTGTACCGAGAATTGACAAAGAATCAATCCATTTATCAATCGATTGACAACCTTGTAATGATTTTTCTAAATCTTCTATTGACGATTTTGCTTGCTCAATCGATTGTGAATAATATGTTCGTTTTGTGTTTACAAGCGGTAAACGAAATGATGAAAAATGATGTGAACGACTTTGTGTTATTGTTGTTGATGGTGTTCCTATAGGAAGTGGTGGTCGTGCTGGTAACTGGGGTATTTTAAAGACACCATCTCCATCATGATTGTCTGTATTTCTATTCAAATTTGGTGTAACAACAACATTATCGAGTGATAGAGAACGTCTATTATGACTAGTACTCGTTGAGGATGTTGTAAGTGAATTATTATCATCTTTTACATTATCGGTATTATTGACTAAAGATAATGCTGGTGTACAAATAGTCGAAGAATTTTCTGATATTGACTGATCCTGTTTTGATATTTTAACAGCGAGTGGTTGAATAATTTCATTCGTGCTTTTGATTGGTTGATTGACTTCAACATAGTAATCCGAATAATTCTTTTGATTGTTCTTGTTATTACTGCTGTAAGATGTCTTCTTTTCAACAATTCGATCAAACGTTGGCAAATAATTGTCAATTGATATCGATAGTGATGATGACGACTTTGTTGAGCATAAACAGCAAAACGTCTGCTTTTTTTGCTTAAAATTTTTCAATTGTTTATGTTTTTGTGGTTGTTTTTTTAATGATGACGAATTACCCATACTTTCATGAGAAATTATTCATATACAGTAATAACGATTGATTGTCATCTAGAAAGAGAAATACCATAGAAAATTTGTTGAAGAATAAATAACTATTCATCCCCTACTGCTTTTTCATGGTCCTTATAAATAGAGAAAGATCTAATCCTTTATCTAATCCAAAATGTGATCAGCATTTTCTTATCTACTAAAGAAAAGTTAGCTTTAAACTATCTCGAATATTTAGTTACAAACAAAACTATTGTTAAATGTTAACTTATTTTCATACCATCTATAATACTTTTACAAGCGATTCTTATCGCACGATACGATATGATGACCAACAAGAAAAAAGACAAAAGCGTTTATTGTTTTAACACAACGATGGTAAAAGTTCATGATCATAATCCATCTCCATGAGAGAAAAACGATAAAAATCATTCTAAAGATTTTATGTATACAAAGGGACAGAGAGAGAGAGAGAGAATGGGGGTTGTAATAGGATATGTGATGATACAAAAATGTCAAGTTCAAATAAAAATAATTAACGTATATGACATACCACAGATCGTGTTTCAATAAATGGAATGCATGTTTTCGATCTTAGATGCCAGTAACACACAAAATTCAAGTTTTGAAATTAAATTTCTTGTATCTTATTGTTTCAAACTTGCCTACCAGATTTACACCTTTTTTTTTTTTTTTTGATTTTATATTTTTTCCTAAGAAATTTTTGATTAGTTATTCACAACTACTTCTTCTATCCTGTCACAGAATGAATATAATAATCTACGAGTTTTACTAATTATCATACCTTTATTTAAAGCGATTTTATTTCAGAAATAAAAACATGTCATAAACCAATATTTAAGCGATGAAACGAACTAACGCTAACATCACTGTTACTTACAGATCATCACATCATTTTCTTTCTCTATATTACATACGAATATCAGAGATCTATAGTATTCTTCTCTTTTAGTACGTGTAAAATTTTGTGTTTATTTAATGAGTAGAAAAACGACTGTGTTGTATATATGTGTAGTTCAACTGATTACTCTCTTTCTTCTATTGATGCTAAAAAAAATTTTAGGTCTACATATCATGTCATTCTCAATGGAATCTATTACTCGTGCAGTTTTATTTTAATTGCTAAACGTTTGCGTCAAATTGAAGAAGAAGAAAAGAAAAACGATCGATGTATAAATTCTTTTTGACATCAAAAAGAAAAAATATAATTTATTTAGAGCAATAATCTACATATATACAAGTCGCTCACTTGAATTTCTTTTCGAAAAATTTGTATCGAAAAAAAAAATATTATACATACCTCTTAAACTTTTCTTTTGATTATAATATTAAAAAAAATGGTTCAATACTCATCGATTCAAATTTCATGAAAACAAACACAGACATATTTATCTTTGTTGGTATCAAACAACAATTCTTTCTATTGTCAACATGTCTCACACACGTTCGAGAGAGAGAGAGAGAGACAAAGATATGATGATAATATATCCATCCATACATAATATAGAACCAAAAGTGAAACTATAAAAGATCTGCTTAACTAATTATAAAATGTTGTTCTTTCTGTCTAGTAGTCTTCAACTCCGAAAAAAATTTGGATATAAATCTAATAATGATTTTAGCTCTGGATATAAAAACATGAAGCTTAAAATCACTTACTCATCACAAAAAAAATTTGGAAATCTTTTTTTCTTCTTTAGATATTCAATAACGTGTATCTATCTATCGAAATGAAAATTTGTTCAATACAAAAAACGCATGCGAATTGTTTTCTTCCATATCATCTAATCGTATGATTCACTATATAAACGACTCGATAAAAGGAGAGAAAAAAAGCTTGATACTATATGACTTCTTAATATATAGAGAGAACAGATGAAGCAAAGAGAAAAGGATAACCTATATGTATATTAGGACTAGCAATTCGGATATACAGCACATCAATTTTATCAAAATATCAATAGTCATTCGCCTGGTGATGATACTGTGATAGTGTCGAAAGTTCACTTTTTGTATGTAAAATGATTTTACTTAAATTCTTTCCTCTTATTTTAAATATGTTATATTTCACTAAAAACGTTAAAAAATCAAAAAAACATCAATTATATCAATTTTATAATCGTTATAAAACATGTGACAAATAATAATTCGAAATCAAATCCTAAAGTGATAAAAACATACAAGCACATGTGGAACAGATGGTACTGCAAGTCTTTTCATTTTTTTTTTATGAATTAGTCTGGTAAAGTTGTTAAGGTAGTGTCTGTTACACTGATGTCTATTCATATATTTTTTTTGTGCCATTGTTAATCGTTAATTTATGATAACTCTTCGTACCAGTTTAAGTTTTTTAGCAAAAAGACAAGTATGGTTTCTGTCGATGAGTAAGTAAATCGAAAAGTAAACAATTTTATTCTGTAAGTCAATGTTTGCCAATCTACTTAAACAAACAATAGAAAAGGATATAACTACATGTTGGGAAAAATATGGGACAATCTGTCGTTGATTGTTAGAAGTTAATGACCATTTTGGAGTACATATACAATTTTTAATAGAAGAAAAAAAAAGCCTTTGATAAGTAAGTATATTTCAGCACAACACTTTTATATGTACCAAAAAGTATAATAAATCAAAAATAAATAAATCAATCAGCCATAACAACGATGAATGTGTATGTGTACGTGCATATTTACCAATTATAATAAAATCAATATAAGATAAACATTGAGAAAAAAGCAAAAACTTTTCTTTGTTCTAGAGACGAGTTGGTGACCTCGAAATATTTATACAAACATGTTCTAGCTTAAATATAAACTTTTCTTGAGAATAATACAGATACTACAATGTCGAAAAGAATGTCTCTTAATTATTATCACTGGACGATCTTGTTAACTTTTTTGCATCTTTCCAAATTTGTTTTTACTATAAATACAGAGCATACACGAATAAAACGTCAATAGATTTCTTTTTATATATTCAGAGATATGCATAGTAAATATGCTATGATTGCAGCAGAACCGCACCACATTGCTAGGAGGACACAGAAAAAGCTGATGTAAACGAGAATTCTACTCGAGTTGAAATCTGTTGAAAAAAATCAAACCGGACCGGCAGGTTCAAAAGTTCAGATAAACAAAAAACAGGTGAAATCTGTCCGATTTGATCATAATATTCAACTCACACCAGAATGGTGAATGTTTTAATGAGCTGCACGAATTTCCTTTAGATTAAGTCTGCACATGATTTTTAAAATAACGCATTCTTAATAAGGATGGTAATTTCGTCTCTTTGCAAAAAAAAAATATGGAACGCAGAAAAAGTACTGTATACTCTTGAAATAAAAGTCTTTTTTCTTATTCGTTCTGTAGCTTTTTACAAAAGGTCAAAAACAAAAAGGAAAAATGCAAACAAAAGTTGAAAGATAGCAAGTTTTTACTCTAGACCGCAAGGAGATGAAGAAAAGTGACTGTGTCACGCCGATTCGAATACACTAGATGCTCATCGTTGTTTTTTCATGTTGGCATCAGTGTTTCACGGTTAGCCTTTGCGCCTTGTGCATTTTAACCTGTCAAATCTTATTGAATCAAGTGGAATCTAATGTTCTCATTTAATCCATATTATATTGTCGGTTTTTAATGGATTAAGAGGTTTCATCCATTCATTGGATTAGCAGAAACATTCTAGTAGAAACAATGATTCTAATGTCAGTCTCTTGGTTTCATCTGTGCTTTCTAAGCATAACGTATGAATTGAAAGCGTTGTGAAGCGCTGTAACAACAGTGAAATGTAAACGGGCGACATCTAAGCGAAATTACTTATTTTGTGCTGTGCTGGTTCTTAAAAAGATGTTTAGCTTTTCAAAAACAGGAAATTTTGACATCCGACCATTCTACTAGATAGCTTCTATCCTGATTTTCTGTACTACTGACTAATCGGCTCATCGCGCACGCGTTGATGATTCATATTTTTAGTATTAATTGCTTATATGATAATTTCACCTAAATCCGTAGAGACTCCTTTAAGTCTCCCGTGAGACTTCCGTACTGTCTTTTACTAAAAATGTGGACTCAAGAATTCAAGTTTCACCTTTAGTGTATTATTTTATATTTGTTTACTTGTTTAAGAGAGAAATTCAATACATTTCATTACTATAGTTACTTCGATTGGAAGCTAGAATTACCTAAAGTCATCATTTTTTATTGTTTCAGCCTAATTGTTTTGCGGATAATAAGATGAGCGTTACTGCTGCTGTTGTTTCAAGTTCCATATCTGAAGAATCAAATCTTAAAATGTTTCAAGAAAGCATACGATCTGGTCGAAGAAATGCATTAGACGATTTTATGGTTCAACTTACAGGTAATGCTAATCCACTTGTTTATGTGTAACGAAATCGAATATGTACTTTTCTTTCAAGTTACGAATTTGTCTTCCGGCGCACCACAAAACGAAACCGAAATGAACTCAATGCTTCAATCAATGTCGATCCAACCATAATGCAAACGCGTCTAGATCCTGCACGAATACACCCCGTTCTATCTATTTATAAACTCGTTACAATATTTTTTTAAGTTTGAAAGCTTTAAACATATTTTACTTATGTTTTGGTGTTTTTTCATACCGCACTGTGATGGTTCTTTATGTGCCAAAGTAAATTCAGCGTGTAGAAACAAAAATACGTTTATCTCTGGCGCCGTATATTTAGCATTTAGTAATATGTAAATATAAGATTGTCTTCACTCATTTGGTTTTTTTATAGATGAATTTTTCAAACAGATAAATTTAATCTGAAAAAAAGTACATTTGACATCATTAGTTGAAACATCTTTCTCTTGATGGCAGTGAGTGCTTTTTCATATATTTTATTTCGTGAAATATTTTTAATGTTCTTTTGAATCACTCTTTGTTTAGTTTGATCTTGTTCGAAAACGTTTACAAAAAGAATTAAAATTATTAACGGATAATCCTACGCCTGGAATTAGGATTGTTGATGATGGTTCCGATTTGAGAAAGCAAGATATGAATTATGGTTTAGTTGTTCGTTAATCAATGTTTTCTTGTTTAGGTTAAGAATCGATATTGATGGTGCTCCTGGAACATTATATGAGGGCGAAAAATACCAATTACAATTCAAATTTACCGATCAATATCCGTTCGATTCACCTCAAGTAAGGTGTCCTTTTAAACACGAGTTTTATACCAATAGATTGTCTATAACATACACGGTTCGGAGTACATGATTATCTAACGAATAAAAAACTTTTTTCAAACAAAATGTGATAGCTCCACTCTCTCTGAGCTATTAGAGAAGCTTTTAACAACACACAGTTTTTAGTACACATTCTGTTTTGTAGGTTGTTTTCGTGGGAAATAATATTCCACTTCATCCGCACATCTACAGTAACGGTCATATTTGTTTGTCAATATTAACGGACGATTGGTCTCCGGCATTGAGTATAAATTCTGTTTGTTTAAGTATTTTAAGTATGCTAAGCAGTTGCAAAGATAAAGTAAATATTATTAAAGCGTATTTAAATTGAGCCTAGGATTTAATGAAAATATTTGTTTATTTTATAGAGTCGACCACCTGATAATGATTGGTACATCAAAACGTGTTCACAAGATCCAAAAAAGACAAGATGGTGGTATCACGGTAAGCACTATATAGTTGAAAAACTTTGTTGTAACATCGTTTATTTTTTAGATGATTCGGTATAATTATTAATTTAAAACTTTTTTTGGATATATAAAAAGTTGATGTTATTTCAACTGATAATACGAAGTGTGTAAAATTGTCATAAAAGTCTAATTTTTTAGCTCATGTCAAGAATTATTTTATGTATTTCAGATAGAAAAACCTACCGTCAACTGAACAATAAAGTTTTTTGTTTATTTTCGCTTTTCTTTGTTTTTTTTCTTCAACATAATGTCTATTTGAAATCAAGACTGTATGCTGTTCATTTTTTCGTATGTTACAAAACATATTTTGTGTGTGTATATGTATGCAAGTACGAGTTTGTTTTTTCAGTGTCATAAGTAATAGGTGTTCTGTCAGAAAATCTATTTTATCTATACAACTCAGAGTAACGATTATGTCTTCCTGTCACTGGTAGTCTATTTGTTAAAATTCTAACATTTTTTAAACAGTGCAATTAAATTTGATTTTGAATGACGACCAGTAGAGTAATTCTATGATTTGCCGTGTTAGAGAGCACCACAGATAAATGTGTTTTTTGTCTGTGTTTGTTATTTTCCAATGTTTATTTGTTTTTAATTTATTGCAATAGACAAGAAGTTTAAATACAAAACAATTATGGAATAATGCGAGATTATGAACAATTTTCTTGAATTTTTCTGACAACTGAACTTGAAATTGTTTTGAATAACATGTTGTTGTATTGAAAGAGAGAGAGAAGCGGTTGAAAGAATAGTTTTTCAACGTAGTTGAAGTCCTCCGATATGTGAACGGTAAACTCGAAACTGTTTACGTGTTTTTGTCTATATTTCAACAAACTTTTATTATTCGTAAAGGCACTCCCGTACGTTTTGATTGGCTATTTTTTTATTAAATCACTAAATGTTTTATCCTTCATAGAAGATATATTATTAATTAATTAACATAATTATTTGATGACTATCACTCGTATTATATTACAACTTTAATTTATTCTTTTTTTCTCTAGTTCTTTTGACGTCAAGATTCGACACCGTTTTCTATTTTAATATGTACATTTAGTTTTATTGCTCAATACGGTATAGTCACGCTGAATTATGCTTCGCGGTGAGGCGTATCACAAAAAATCTTCTATCTTAAGCTGATCTGAATCTAAGTGTAGGACATACTTGGGTACGTTGATTTAAATTAAGCAAAAATGTATCAAAAATAGTAGTTCATTTCAAAGTTTCTTGAGGAAAATAACAAAGATTGACACAATTAAAAAGTGACACTGTAGTAGTGCATCTCTTTTACGTATATTGCTGAGAAATTTAATTAAAATCGTCCACACGATTGTTGAGATGTTAATATACGTATAAGAAACGTTTAAGTTGTTAAGTTGACATAGTCATTACCACCCTCCGATGTAGTCCAGATTAAAATCTTTTATGAAATACTCTTATATTCTAAGATTCAAAACATGCATATGAACAACACTTGTCAGTTTAGATTTCAAATTTTTTCTAATACGATCCTCTACTCTAAATCTTAAATCCGCAAATTGAGAAGAATTGATACCACTCTCGTAGCTTTTCGACTTCAACTTCTTTTTTCACTCTAGTTTAAATGGACGATAAAGGAATTGTTGATTGTATTGCATTATACGGCATTGGTTCGGATATTGAAAGAGATTTGGATAAAAACGAGGGAGACTCTAGTTCAACAACATCAAAAAATCGCAGTAGTTCGTTGAATGGTAATGATTTCACACCACAACAACCTATTGTTGATATAGCGATTATTGATCGAACACACGGAGAAGGAACACCAGCCGGCTACGATATTGTTTTGAAAACACAGACAAATTTGTCAGCAAATTTAAGTCATGGTGGTTTAAGAAATCATGAAATGTACATTTGTTTTCGTCGAGGGCAAGATAAACCGCCTATTACAGATATTGGTGTACTATTCGAAGGAGGAGAAAAAGTCATGGAAAATGTATCAGTTATTGAAACAACACCGCATGGTTATCCAGCGAATCTATGTAGTTCCAGTTTTACCAAAGAACGAACATTAATCACTTATAGACGCTCAGCATCAAATATTTTGTGTAATACACTAGCTGTTACCGATATATGTGTCATCGTTGAAAGTAAGGTAAGTTTATTCTATTTGAGTAATACCATTAATTGCTTACTTATTTGTTTTCATTTTAGGGTGAGGTACCACCACATTCCTTTAACAAAATAAACAAAAATCTCAATCGTAGTATGCTCGGTTCTCACATCTATTTATGCTATAAAAAATCTGTCATTTATCCCAAACGTATTAAATACAAACCAAAATTATTGTTTTATTATCCAACATCACAAGAATATCTCGATAAAACAGCAATGTTTTGTTTTCCAATGGGTGCCTATATTGAACAGTGGCCAAAAAAAGTCACTACAATGGCACCAACATTTTCAACCTTTTTATTTAATTCTGAAAAATCTAAAATATACGGTGCTTGTGTATCCTATTATGAACAATATATATCTCATCAAAATTTAACAAAATATGAATTAGAAAAGCAGTTGGAGTATGTGAATAGTGATCAACAACAATTATATGTTTCATCATGCATCGTTCTATTTTCACCTTATGCGTTTTTTGATACATTTCGACGTTTTTTATTCATAATCTATCATCTTATATTAACATCAAATATACTCACATGTATGATGCCACAAGAAGCGCATCTGAGAGAACAATATTTATTCAATAGATCATCATTACTCAAACAATATCTTAAACATTTCTTCCACGATATACCATATCCATCGCCATCGGCACCAAGAATATTTGTACAATATGAAGAACCACTATTAATCATGTTGCCAGAAGAAAACGGACTACCACAAAACGGAGCTTCATTTCTAGATTTGTTAAAAAATTTAGGAACAGATAATACATTGACACTATTTTTATACGCATTATTGGAATCAAAATTATTAATCCATTCTCTAAGATCATCAGTATTAACGGGTGTTGTTGAGGCTGTTAATAGCATGTTATTTCCATTTCAATGGCAGTGTCCTTCCATTCCTTTGTGTCCGTTGGCTTTAAGTGGTTTCCTTGGTGCTCCGCTTCCATTCCTTATTGGTATAGATTCAAGATACTTTGACATATGTGAACCACCATCCGATGTCATCTGTGTGGATCTGGATACCAATTCAATCATTGGAGGTAATGATGAGCAAAAAACTTGGAATGTAAAAATGTTTCCAAAAAAACCGTACAAATTATTACGACAGTCTTTGGAAGAAATTAAAAAACATTTATTACATGAATATCATCAACGACTCTATGAATTACGTTCACGTCTAAAAAGTAATCGTAATGATTTTGAAATACGTATACAAATGCTACAAATGGAGCGAACTATTGAAAATCGTATTCGAGAAGTATTTCTTCAATTCATGTGTGCACTATTGTATGGTTATAATAAACATTTGAATCCTATTCCAGGTCGTCCAAATGAATTGTCAACTGATGCAAGCGTACGATTTCAATTTGATACATTTTTACATACACGAGATTCATCTTATCGACAATTTTATAATTATTTACTAAAGACACAAATGTTTATACGTTTTATTGAACAATGCTCTGGTTTATCATCAGCACTTACGTCGCCATCAATGAACACCATAAATACAAATTTCTACGATAATAATTATTGTCTGGCATTTTTTGACGATTGTTGTGCGAAAATCAAGCAAAGTATTGAAAGTAATAACATGATATTATCCGAACAACCACGTTTACTAGACATAAATAATTCAACAGCATTTTTGAACGATAAAACTGTTTTGATATTACCGGAATTTCTTGAACATAATTATTTGTTGACAAATGGTACAAGCGAAAATCATTCCTCAGATACGCTTGAAACGCAACGAATATTATCAAATCAAAGATCTATAATTCAAACTGACATACCACCATTGAATACATCAACATTAGCATCAAGAACAGCATTGGCACCACCAATTAGTCATCAACAACAACAACAGCAAGCGTTCTCAACGCCATTGAAAATAATGCCTAACAGTCCAATGGTGAAACGTTCAAAACTTGAACGCGATAAATGTCAGAAAGTAAGTAAAAAGGAAGTTTTTATTGTTTTCTTGTAGAAAACCTAAATAGTTTCAATAATTTATTTTTGGTAAGGTGGCCAAAGACGAAAAGCAAAACCCACTTCATTGGGCCTATTGTTTATTAAACAACGTCTATTCACTATGGTTTATGCATTTGCCAACAATGATTAATTGTCACGTATCATCACGGGAAGTGTTGAATTATGCGTACAAAATACTTGTACAAATGAACAAACAACATTTAAAAAATCCAGATGAAGTAAAAGTCATCGTACTCTCTTATTTTTTCCTTTAATCATTATTTAAGTTTTGTTTATATAGATTTGTTTTCGTGTTATTATTCAGTTATGTGGTCTCTACGATTATCCTGTGCTTGCTGTCAAAACGTTTTCATTTATGAAACTTACAGGAATTGAATGGAATGCGATAACCTATGGTGCCTACAATAGAGTACATACATTGTCTGACTATTTATGGGACTAGTGTGATCAAAATATCTTCGTTTTAGGCAGTTTATGAAGGAACGTGGCCACGTCACGATCGTTGGGCAACATTGAGAAATGTTGTTCGTGCTGTATGGGCCTTTAAAAATGCACATTATTTGATGAATGATAAAAAACACCAGCGAACACGTCATCATGACACAACGTCGTTTGATATGAGTGCATCAGACGATTCAGATGGATGTAGTATTGATTCTGTGCCATTGGTTAATGATAATACAAATCGGATTGAGTCGAATGAGAATTTGAAAGGTAAAAATATGCTTTTGTTTTGATGATCATTTGACTTTGACTGTCTTGCGTTTAGAAAACCGTTCTAATCGAGGTGGTTTTTCAAATACAAATACGGCAACAGTGCAAGACGATACTTTTACAAATGTTTTTTCGACAAGCAGTCACATCATATCAACTTTAGCGGGTACAATACGTGAAATCACAGAAAGCCCTTATTTTCCTAAAATGTCATTTAAAAACCGCCCATCATGTACGTACACTACTAGTGCTATTTTTGCAGATCTTTGTCAGTTCTATTTATGTCTTATTTAGTTGATCTTTATATATCATCTTCCGATTCAAAAGTGTCAAATAGTAACAACAATCAAAGTAATACAAAATTGGTCTCAGTTTTACGCGATATGCCAAGCAAACTGAACTTTACGGCTCTACATTTAATTGCTCATGAAACAGGTAGTGTGATAACTATTGCTATATTGTATCTAGCTCATACGTATTTGAAGAATATATCCATCATGTATTTAAAGCATTTGCCCTTTTTTTCCTGGTTTAGCTCGTTCACAAGCTGGTATATTGATGACATCAAGTCCAATCGAAATTGGAGATTTGGGAATGTTGTCCTATCGTTTATCGGGACGCCATATTCAACAGTCTTTGAATTCGCGATTAACTCACCTTCGACGTTCAGTTTCGTGCATAACATCAATGTCTCCATTAAAATTGAAAATCGTTAATAGTATTCAACCGATAATGATGAATGATGATGATACAACAGCGACAAATGCGTCAATGAAATGGGAATTAGCTTCACTCCAGCAAGCGCCCACAAATGATCCACTCGGTTTACTCAATTTATCTGCATCGCAATCACCATGTCGTATTATATCTGACACTGATCGATCATCTAATTCAAGAACAGCACTACAACCAGTCAAATTATTTGCTCATGAAACATTTCAAACAACACAAAATGATATTGCACAGACGAAACAATCAATTAATTCTGATCTATTAGCAACTACAACAGCAATGGATGATGATGTATCACTACCATTAAAGATACCCACATCAATAACACAACTATATGCAAAACTGAATCAGAGTGGATTGTCAGCATTGTATAGTCCGAAAAGTATCAAATCGATTCGATCATATGCGTTTGGTCGTCTGAATGATTTGAAATCAAGTGTCAGAGTAATGGCTACCACGCCATCAACATCGACTGGAACATTAACAACAAATACAGTCTCAACAACAACGACTAATATTTCCACTTCATCTCAAAGATCAATGCCACAATCGGCAAGTCTCTATACATTTAAAAATAACAAAGAGATTTATAATAACAGTTGCAGTAGTGGAAAAATAAGAGGTAAAATAGCTCAACTAAACAAGTTTTGAAATTATCAAAATCTTTAAATGTTTTTACCAGAAAGTTTATCATCGCTTCTATCTCAGCAAAATTTCAATAATACAACGGCATTTAGCAATTGTAATGATGCAACGAACAGTAATAATTGTGGTGATATAATAAGCAATAATACTAGTTTTACAGAATCCAATGCACTACACGATGAAATTAAATCACTTCGAATTGATCCAGCTTCTGTTGGTATACCAGTTGTTGAAAACAATGATGCTGATAATGAAATAAAGATACATGTTGAAATAAGTAGTTGTAATAGGTGTTCATCATGCTCACAATTTCTCTATGACGAAGAAATTATGGCTGCTTGGTCTAGCGATGATTCGGAATTACATACAGTATGTGCACATTGTGGAGTTAAAATTATACCGAAATTAAGTATTATTGTTAAAGTATGTTGTCTAACTTGTACTCATGTGTACTTTACCATTTAATATGATGTTTTTAAGGACACGAGACTGTCAGCGGCGAACAACGTTGAAAATAACCAAATGTCATCTACTCAAATTCTCGAAAATGGATCATCACTTAATTCTCCGAATACACCTACAAACACAACATCAATCGCAGAAAAAGTGAAAGAGTCGTTGTACGTAGTCAACTGAGGCTCCAGTGTCATATCATTTGAATATTTTCTATTTATCTCTAGTCGACTTCGTTCATCGACACCAATTACTGTTCATTATTTGAGTCCATTAGTACTTCGAAAAGAACTTGAAAATGTTCTTGATTCAACAGATCATAACAATATTTTATATCAAATGGATTTTATGGACAAACATCCAATATTATTTTGGAATTTGGTATGTGTTCTAGTCTGATATTTTATATTCTGAATATTGTTTTTCTTTTCTTTTTTTTTTCTCATATTAGATATGGTTTTTCAATCGTATTCAAGTATCGAGTCATTTGATTTATATGTTACTTTATTCACGCGATGAACAACAACAAAATATTTCTATTTATAATTCTAAACCAGAAGAATGTGTTCGTATACGGTGTATGTGGGATAGTTTAATTAGTTATGATGATATTGCTGAACCATTGTATAAAACATGGGAACATGATGGATCTGGTATGTAAATTTAAAAAAAGAAAAAACTTTGATTGTGTATTTTATCTTTGCTGTTGGTATTGTAGATAATAGTTATACATCAATGAAAAATGCATTAATTACTGATGAATATATTACAGTAACAGGAAAGTAAGTTAAAATCTTCATTGTATTATATACAATTATTAACGTTATGTTATTATTATAGTGTACGAATGATGTCCTATCGGTAAAAATGCTAAATTTCATTCATTTAATTAGCTATTACACTTTTCAAACCCGAAATAATAAACAGCAATGAGTCTCCCTGACTTGTTTTTTTTTTTCTAATACTTACTAACACTTTCAAGTGTCATTATCGTAAAAATGACTTATTCATGTTTTTTTTGTTTTTGTTTTTATTTTAGAGTTATGCAATCAATTATTTCTTGTATAGAAAATAATGATTTATACAATCCAGTACGTTTATTTATTAAAGAGACGTCAAAATCGATACGTCGTCGACTAAGAAGACGTTCAATGTATAGAGAAATATTATTTTTAGCCAGTATTGCTCTTGGAAGAGAAAAACTTTCATATGGTAAATATACTATTTTCTAGTAATATCATTAAATTAAAGATTTGTTGTTTGTTTAGATGCGTTTGATCGTGAATATAATATCGTCTTTGATCGATTGACAAATAAACAACTAGCATTGATAAACGACTATGATAAAGCACCGACATTATCGGCTGTTATGTGTCGTCGTTTATTTTCATCTTTAGAACTATGATCTATTCTGTTCTGTTATTTTCTTTTCTCTTCTTTCATGGTTATAGATAATATTTTTTTATGAACAGTGTTTTTATGAAAGAAAACTAGTCGCATCTGTATTGTTCTCGTTTATTTTCATTTTTGGTATATATAATTTATTTTATGCTCAAGTAGTTTAGTTTCATACATTTTTTATTACATTAAATCGTGTGTAACGTATGTATCAAGTTAAATTTATCAAAGAAACAATTTTTCAATAAATGTTTATTATTGTTTTTTTTTACTGACCTATCATTGAAGTCAAAAAAACTTCCATTTTGTTACCATTTTTTTTGTTCTCATTATTGTTTTTCTTTATGAGCTTGTTATATTTCAGTTGATCTACTATGAATAATGATTTGTTGTTAATTTTAATTTTTTATTTCACTGTCGCTCATAAAATTCATTTATAGTATTTAGCCATTCATTCATTCATTCATCCAAGAAAGTTTTTTATGTTTTGTCTTATACTCGTTTTCATCTTTTTTTCACGTAATTGTATAGTTAATGAAAAGAAAGACAATCAATCAATCAATCAGTATATCTTACTTTCTTTAAAAGAAATATATAATATATGCGCAATAAATTAAAAGATTTCTAATTTCATAAAACATCTTTCAAAATAATTGATCTAAGAAGTTTGAGGCAGACTGATGTTCTATTTTCAAAATAAAAACTATCAGAGACAATATGAATAATTAAATTATGCCATATAGAAGAATTGCCATCAAAATTAGATATTATTTAAAATTTCTTTTTAAAGTTTTTCTCTACAATGTTTCGTTTATTTTATTTTTTATTAGTATTTTCTAACGAAAAAAAAACGATGTCATCGGCGTTAACTCTTGAAATGAGTGCGAAATGTTTTGAGGGCTTTCAGTGTGTATATAATCATGACAGGTAAATTTGGTACTAATCGTCACATTATCGTACATTGTTACATTGATCAACCATTGTGATTTTGTTTAATATTTCCAGTACAACATTATCATGTAACATGAAATTTGGAATTTACTTGCCAGAAGAAGCCAATAAAGAAAAAGTACCATTGTTAATATTTCTTTCTGGTAGTCTAACTTTTTCATAATAAATATCATTTACAATTAATAATTTGGAATTCTTTTAATTTCGCAGGATTGACGTGTAATGAGCAAAACTTTATTACGAAGTCAGGTTTTCAACGTTTTGCTTCAAAATATGGATTTATTGTGGCTAATCCTGATACGAGTCCACGTAAGTATAATCTATTATTTTTTATTTATTCTTCAACTTATCTATTGTTGATTTACATTAAGGTGGATGTAATATTGAAGGCGACAAGGATGCATGGAATTTTGGCGAGGGTGCTGGATATTATGTTGATGCTACCGAACCAAAATGGGCAAAAAATTATCAAATGTTTTCCTATATAAATGATGAATTTTTTGAATTAATAGTTAAAAATTTTAATGTGGATGTCAATCGTATTGGAATATTTGGGTATTTAAAGATTAAAGATCTAATTACAGTATACTATGTACATTTTCGAATGCTGTTTCAGTCATTCGATGGGTGGACATGGTGCATTGATCAGTTTTTTTAAACGTCCAGCACAATATAGATCGGTGTCCGTGTTTGCTCCTATTAGTAATATGTCCAAATGCGACTGGGGTATTAATGCGTTTACCAAATTTTTTGGAAAAGGTATGAGTTATTGTTTGATATGATTTGAATCCTGAATAAAGCACAAATTGTTCATTTACATATAGTAAAATAGCAAATTGATTTTAGTAAACATAGAAATGATTTTCATTTGCCATATGACTGTTCATTATGTTCAAAACGGCACTGTCAACTACGTTTACAGTTTTTCATTATGGATCATAATTCTTATTTCTCAGTTGCAATAATTCAAATAGGTGTAGCGAAAAGTGAGAGTGGCTGATTATCCAAAGTTTCAACAACTAGAATTCTATAATTTAATGTGGAAAATTAAGTTCAGATCTTTAAGTTGAATTATGATCCATAATATAAAATTGTAGACATAGCAGACATCATTCATTCATAACATCAGTCTGGTATTGTCTACTTTTTCACATTTTCTTTTCTCTACAGATGAAAAACTTTGGGTACAATATGATGCTACTGAAGCCGTTCATAATTATCATGGACCGTTACCACATTCACCCATACTGATTGATCAAGGTGTAGATGATGAATGGCTTAAAAAAGGGCAATTATTACTTGACAATTTTGTTAACGCCTGTTCAAAAGCATCAATGCCAATTCAATATCGAGAACAAGCCGGTCATGGTCATGGTTACTATTTTATTATGACATTTATCGAAGATCATTTTAAATATCATAAACAGGAATTTGACCATGTTAAATGAAATAAACAATGAAACTAGTCACTTATGAACCGGTTTTTTTGCTAGAAGAAGTTGAAGATTAGCCTGTTGTGCTCGGCTTTTTCTAGTGTTTTAATATGATTGATTTTTCCCTTTTTGTGATTTGATACGTAATTATTTATTTCTATTGGTACTATTTTTAAATAAAATCAATGACGGTGATAAGTTTGATGAAAAAACATCATTGTAATTACGATGCATAAAGAATGTAAGAAATAAGCGCATGTGTCTAGAATGAAAGACTGCCGTTACTTTAGAATGAAACGTTAGCGCCTGAATGAAAAAGAGAAGAAGACACTCTGCTTGTAAATGAGTCAATAGAATAATTTTTATATAAATGTTTGTATCTATCGATTTAGAAAAGGGATTATGCCTGAATAAATATCGTAGTAGCGTAATACTATATCCGATGAGTGAATTTGACTTTGTATTAGGAATTACTATATTTTTTTTTGTTTTTTATTGATAGAAACTTTGTTTATCCTTGTGTGATATCAAACGGAGAAATAATATAAAAACAACAAAATATTGTACAATACAATAAAATCGAATTGTTGTTTTCTTCTTACTCTTCCATATTTAATTTTTATATGCACGACTAGCTCTTCTTCCACGTGCTTTTTCAAATTTTCGACCTTTTGAACGAACTTTTGGTTTTGTTGTACTACCATGTGCACCCGTTGGTCTACCTACAAAACAGAAAAACTGATGCTATACGAACTATTCGATATTCTACAAACAGTACATACCAAAAAAGCGATTTGCTTTACGTGCTTTTCGACAGCCTTGCAATAATACCGTATTTTTACCTTTTGGTGAACGTAACGCCAGTTGATCGAATGTTAAAATTTCGCCTATATAAATAACGAAAGAAAAATGTTTGTACGAACATGAAAGATCAACAATGTATCATTCTTCTCTTTGTTAACTACATTCTAGCTGTAGTCTGATTATATAAAGTACACTGATGGATAGGAATCCACTCATATAGTCAAACAAGACTGTCTATAGCTTGAATGAAATGTAAATCCTAGAACTTTCTAGAAAACTGAGAGGATAGCGTATACATACCACCATTTTCGAGAATACGTGCACGAGCACGCTCCGTAACATGTAATGCACACACAGTTAACTTTGGTATTTGATATATTCTGGGATCGTCCGTTACTGTACCAACAATAACAGCTGTTTTATTATCACGACCTATTTTAATGAAAAAACATGTTAGTGCTCTATTTTACATAATCAACAGAAGTTGGAGGCTTACCTGTTCTTTTCATCTGTCGTACAAGTCTAGAAATAGCTAATGGTGGACGATTTGTATTACTCATAAATAAACGTTTTAGTATTATTTTATTAAATTTTGCGCCAGTACGTCTAGCCAAAAATCGATATAATTTAACTAATAATAACAGATAAAGATTTTTACTATGTGGTGCACGACGTACGGCTTTACGATCAAAACGATGGTCCAAATCAACACCCATTATAAGTTTTTAATTAGAAACTGTTTTAACGTAACAGGAATCTGAAGAGAAAATATACAAATTTAACGAACAAAAACAATTGTTGCAGAGAACTTAAGAGGAAACTGTCTTGTTGTTCACAAGCAAACAAACTTTCTTCCACTACAAACACCATGAACACTCATTAATTTTCTTATTTTCTTAACTAAATAGTAAATAGCTTTTTCTAGCCCAAAATATCAACGATCCTGGAATAGAGACATCTGCAGTCGTACTCATTACCCATAGACACGCAGATGTTCATTTCCTCATTACAAAGAAAGCATGAAAAGACGAAAGGAGAAAAACAGAAGACTTTATAACTAATACATTAGTGTAATGTAAAACGTATAAATACATTATAAAATATTGTGTAATATGGCCAGTTTTTGAATAACTCCAGAACAAAAGGTGATAGAGATTCAAGATTCTCGCCATTGGAAAGAGGAAACTTCGGAGCATCTTTTCATAACCAAAACGATTTTCAAAATGTCTTTTAAGATTTTTTATGCGATCTTTGAAAAACTGGATTATAACTCAAAAAGTTCAAGTACAAGTCTGTTGGTTCTTATTCATGGGTAAATAGCCAAAAGTACCCTCTTCAAAATGGGTTAAGCGAGTCTTCGATGATTCTCGATAACGGATTTGAAAAAAGCATGGGCGCAGATGTCTATCCTGGAGATGACGAAGAAGCCACTTCCTTAAGTCATACACCCATACCTAAATAAACAGGAGAAAAAAAGTCGTGAAAAACTGTATAAAGCAAAAATACCTTATAAAACATACACAAGGAAGAGTTGAGTCCAGAATAGCCTGCTTATCTATGCATCATAAAAATATAAAATATTAACAAGATTCTGTAATAATATAAATCGGTCTATAGAAAGGAATTCGAGTATTAGACGACAAGCAAAATTTATCAAAACAAAAGAATCCAAAACACTCTTCAGTGAAGAAGGATGTTCCACGTCTTATGCATTAATCAAATCCAAACTCATCAAATATTTTCATTAATTGTACGTAGCTATAGTAAAAGTTTGGGTTTCGTGAATTTCTATTCTTCAAGAATATATTTTCTCATAACTTTGTAGTAATATTCTGTCCGCGTTTACTCTCAGTGTATTTCCTTTATCAGCTTTCATCAGCGATATATTTTCTTTATATTACTCTCAGTGTAATATAAAGAAAATAAGTTTAGATTCTAACTTGATCTGATGAAAGTGGAGTCTCACCAAGAAATATTTAAACTTCAATATTTGCATCTACAGTTTAAAAAACAAAAGAAAGGAAAATTCTATCATTTTATTGACGAGAGACAAGTATAAAGATCATAATCCGCTTCTCCCTATCGCTTTAAATTGCACACTTCATTCTATTTTCTATCTAGTGGTATTATTTCATCGTATGTGCATCAACTAGCAAAAGTAGAAAAACAACATAAGACAAATAATAAGGTGATGAATAAAATCGTTGCTAAGGTCTTAAATAAATGTTAAGCCACACCGAGAATCGACAACGCAGCAATGCAGTGGGATGGATCATTTTTTGACATTAGCAATGTTCAATACTTTGCAGTGTCTTTAATGAAATTTTGTCACTAATTGTACCAATACATCTTGTTTTCCTCAAAGACTGTCAAGTGTACACGTTCTGAAACAAGCGTGTAGCAGTCTAGTTTCGAAGATCTGCCTTTATAATTTTGTTTTATAACAGTGACACATACAAAATATTACACGTTTCAGTCCTTTGCATAACAAAAAAAAAAAAACTTCAACGTCTGAATGTTCATCACACGCTAAACAAGTTGAGAAAAAACGAATACACAATCTAATCTGTATCTAATCCGTGTCTTTTAATCTTCTCCTGAACTTATCATCTTTTTCGACATTATTAGCAATAATTTTCTGCTACTGTACACAGTGCGATTTATTCTTACAGACTGTAAAATGGATCGTATTTCCAAAAAATAATTCTACGTATAATTTGCTTCCGTGGATACAATTTATCGTTAGAAATCTAGTCTAATTGTCGTCTATCACACAATAAGCCTCCAGATTCCAAAAGGAGTATGCAATAGCATTACGCAAAAACGAGTAAAAGTACAAGAAACAAATAAATAAGTAAATAAACTAAAACATAACAACAGTTAAATTCTTTTATTCTGACCAACTACATCCACAGAGGATCCATGACTAATCATATTCTGTAAAAGTGGCCTCTGCCTTTCGAAGGCGAATAATTAGTTAATGGTAGTAGTGAATACGGATTTAGTTTTAAAACGTTACTACATTATAATTCTTGTCTAGATTAGAGGAAGACTTCAATGGCAATGCGAACCAACCAAACGAAAGTCGTAAAGTTTTCCTCCGCTAAATATAATAGGGGAAAAGTCTTAGAAAAATTGGTTTGAGTTTCAGCAAACGACTTGAATGTAATAATCTTCTTCTACTAATCTGTAGGAAATTTAAGCACTTAATTATACTAGTATCCCAGTTATAATGGAATGGTTTCATGTGGAAAAAATAGACTTATTTCACGTATTTTTGAAGAAAAAAATGCATTATATGAGAGTTTGGAATGTAATAAGGATTAAATAAGATTTCATTTTTTTCACATAAATGGGAATTATATCAGGATATTTACTATTAGTTCTTCCTAATAGTAAACACTTTAAAGTGAATTAGTAATTAGTTTGCTTATTATGTGTTGAACAGCAACGTATGTGTTATATTAATTATATTAATTATTATTTGTTAATACACCTAATCAATTAATCGGTGGCGAACAAGTGTATTCAAATATGAAAAATTGAGTTAAGGTCTTTTGGTTCAGTTTAAGATCACTACTGATTAAAAAACAAAAAGTTTCTTGTTTTATCCAACAGTGGTTCGCGTTACAAATATTTGAATATTTGTCCGCCACAATCATTACTGTTACAAATGAACAAGAATATTATACCAAAGAGTTGTGTACTAAATATCAGATAAATTAGAGTAGATGAATGACAAACTATAACACGTTTGCATAGCTGTTTTTTTAAACACCCATACGACATGAGAATAGTAAATTTTTATGATGTATCTTTGGATTACGACTTGCATTGATTAGTTGAACCGGAAAGATAATGGACATCTCCGCAGAACAAATACATTTGAGCTTATAAGTGTCAATGTTTGCTTTTTTATTGTAAGGTGAAAAAGAGAGTAACATCTAGTTAAACATTTTATTAGTATTTGGAATCCTTGTAACAAGATAGAATTACTGCTTTGTCAAAGTACGATAAGTTGCTGTTCTTATTCAACAATAAAAACAAATTTATTCCGTTAGATGACTGAAGTCTCGGAGTTTGTCTTGAATCTATTTTACCTGAACTATTAAAAACAAAAATTTCTTTGTATAATCAATTTGTTGGATATAAAAATAGATGAGCACTCTTAAAAAAATTGACTGTGGAAAAAAACAGTCTCTAACATATAGATACTTATCTTAGATAGTCTTTGGTACACGGTTAATTATTCACAATTCTTTTGAAATCATCAATAAATAAAGTGGTTTCATTAACTTATGAGATATTTCGAGTGTTTCTGTACAGATGCTGATTTATGGAGTAGAAATGTTTTTTTTCACAAAATTCATGCTCTGATTTCGCTCAATTTCGCTAGCAACAAAAAATAACTCAAACATCCTGCGATCAGATGAGATGTATATGCTCTTCGATCAGATATTAATTCTGTTTCCAATTATATACTTTCAAAAGTGTACTTAGAAGAGTGGTTTAGTTTAGTTTTACTATTTCAACTGATTATTGATCTATTTCGCGTGATATATTGTATGAGTCATATTTATTCTGTTCTTTTCTTTGCGTGTGACGGCGTCAAGAACGTTTAGTTTGATGAATGAAGTATATCCTAACATACAGAAATCCAAATCTGATATATATACGCATCGACTAGTACAGTTTTTTAAAATTTATCATCGCCTTAGTCCTCTTTCTATTTTTTATCCAATTCACCATTCTCATTACATTTCCTTATATTGTTATCACTTGAAATCAGTGGCGTATACAGTTAGTAGTTTTTGCCCATTGAAATTCTACTTAGCAGATATACCCATGCGTTTTTTTTTTGTATAACCCTTACAAAGATATATGTAAGAGTGCCTATAGACAGAATTGTTTGTTTATTTTTGAATTCGAATCTAATTCAAAAATTAAAAGAATCTCATTTCATTTCTTTGTATTTTTTTTGGACTAAAAATCTTTTGGCCCATCAACAAAAACCTTGCCCATTTTGCCCATCGTTTTATTCCGACACAATAGAAGTTTGTCCATTGGACTAAAAATTCTGGTTACGTCGCTGCTTGAAATACGTTCGTATTCTACCCTAGTGAATCTACTTGACGCTAGATACCCGAGTACTTGCATTTTTCTTAGGTACCTATATGGATACCCTGATACATGAATGTCATAGGTGCTTGAATTATTTGAAAGCTGTCCAATTATTTGCGTTGGACACACGCAGCATAGGTACTAAGTTTTTTTTTTTCGTTCACCGTTTTGTTTCGCGTTCAAATATATATAAAAGAAGAACATATACTTACAAGAATAACGTGCGCTTTTAACTTCACACGATCACCTAAAATGGTTGACTATTTAGGTACCCGCTAAGTAATATTTTACTTGCCTATGACATTCTTGTAGCAGACTATGTTCAGATACATTCACTAGGGTATCTCTTGTAAACATTTTTTCTTTATTTTTCTACGCATCTATTACGCACTGGAATAAACTTCCAGAATCGGTTATTTGTCTTTCGTCTCTATATTCGTTTAAAACAGTATTATCACAATATCTCTTACAATAACTTTCACCCATGTTCCTATTCATCTCTATCAATGTTGTTTATTTTTCTTTAATATAAGCTTTATTCTTTCAGAATACAAGTGGAAAAATATTCCATTATAGTATTCTAAACTAAAATTATTGAAAAAAAAAATCATTTTTGTACGAAAATAGAATTCGAACACATGAACTTAGATTTGCAGTAAATTGCAAAAATTAAAGCCACTGTTCTGTATCTGTATTGTGTACAACGATTGAAAACACACTCTTTATAATCCTTTGATAACTCTTACTTTTCGAAAATAAATATTTATTATCATAGTTATTATACATTTATCACCCTGAACATAACTGTCTATTGTTGTCAAATAAAAAGAAAAAAACGTTTGTATGAGTCAGAAAAGTTTCATGAATCTTAAACAGAGCACAAACGATTTTTCGTGCATAGAAGCTTTCTCACGTACACCTGATTTTATGTATCGAAAGATGACAATATCTTTTACTATTAGAAACACAATACATATAAATATTTAGCTGAATCTGAAATATTTTTCATGTTTAATTTTAGATAATCCATGTATAATAGTTTATGTCCAAAATTAGAACGTATAATCAAAGAATATGATAATGCTAAAGATCCTGAATCAACAGAGATTGGAAAACAGTTTACCGTAAGTTTCGACTAAACACATGAAATCTTCTTGCCTTAAAAAATTATTCTTTATTTTAGCAACTGCAAAAGACAATGTTCGAAAACAATGTTTGCACATGCAACGAGGGTGCTAAACCCGCTAATCGTTTAAAAAATCGTTACAAAGATATTCTTCCATGTTAGTATTACATTGTCTAACAGATTTTATCAGATCATCAACATAAATTTTTCCTCTAATTTAGATGATAAATGTCGTGTTATACTTGATACGAATGGTGAAGATGATTCTGACTATATCAACGCAAGTTATGTAGCGGTATGTTTGCACTGTTTAATATGCCTGAGTCAATTGCAACTTTTTTGTACAATGACATTTTTGAAGTATTTTTGCTACTAACACCGTTGTTGTGAATGGATTTTCAAAGTTTTTTTTTATTCTCTATCTCAGACCCTAGCCACACTACCATA